TGCCCATGGCCCTGCAACCACTAACTTCAGCAAACATAAGAGCAACCACAACAAACCAGAAACAGATGATAAAGAAAAGCTCAACTTTGTGCAAGCTGCTTGGGGTTTTTATTGAATCACAGTGATGGCACCTGAGACGCTGGCCTCTTGGATGATCCTAAGAACGCAGCACTAAGGTTAAAGAAAACATCATACCTAAGAAGATGCTAAAAAGAAGAACGGGGCATCTTAGCAAATGTGGAATCAAAACGTTACTGGGTTATTTGGAAGAATATGATGGAATGTGCCAAAGTGACTTAAGCGAAGAACTACCAGACACCTAGTTACGCTTTCTCCTAAAGCGACATCTTACATGGTTTTACCTTCGTAAATAATGAAATTGATGGAAAAGAGGGGGAAATCTGGTCCAGTCCCTGGACACAAAAAGATGTGCATAGACACTTTCACACCCTCCTATCTTAACACTCTCCCCACATGTACCTGCTGTTCATCACACACTCACTCTGGGTAACAATGAGTTTTATTCAAAAATGCCAGGAAATTTCAAAATTCTTTTACAAACTAGGTAGGCTGGAGGACAGTGGAAAGACAACAATCCTTCCACTAGGGTAGGAAATGGCATCCTAGGATTCTCATGCTATTACTACAACTGTTTTGCACACAAATGCTCTATGCATCATAATTGCATTGGCAAAACAGTCATAGTAATAGTCTGAGAATCCTAGGCCTGCCATTTCCTACCCTAGCGGAAGAGTTGGTATCTTTCTACTGCCTTGAAGAAAGATAGGTAAAGTTAAAGGGACCCCTGACCATTAGGTCCAGTTGTGACCGACTCTGGGGTTGCGGCGCTCATCTAAGCCACTTCTGGTGAACCAGAGCAGCACACGGAAATGCCGTTTACCTTCCCGCCAGAGCGGTACCTATTTATCTACTTGCACTTTGACGTGCTTTTGAACTGCTAGGTTGGCAGGAGCTGGGACCAAGCAACGGGAGCTCACCCCATCGCGGGGATTCGAACCGCCGACCTTCTGATCGGCAAGTCCTATGCTCTGTGGTTTAACCCACAGCACCACCCGTGTCCCTTTTTGAAGAAAGATAGAGCAACATAAAATGTAATATGGTACTTAAAATATCACATGCATATCTTAATCCATATGATATTTTAAGCACCATATTACATTTTCTTTTATGTTGCTCTATCTTTCTTCAAGGCTCATTTTTCAATGAATATTAGTCTCTGAATTAAGCATTGCGAATCAGCACATGGAATGATTCATTTCAGCTGCTAAAGTTCAAGTCTGAGACCAGCTTACACCACCAAATTAACCTTTCTCCCACCCACACTCATTAGTGACTAATGAAAATGGTGATAGTGGCTTCGGGTTTGAAGAAAAAGTCTTCCTTCTATTTTAAATTCAAATATTGCAAAGTCATTAATTGACCTGCAAAACCAGACCCACCAGTTCATGCCTAATGCACCTACGGTAATTCGTTGATCATTTCTGCATCCCCTGCAGGCGGCTGAATCTGGATCAAGAGGGTTAAAAACAGGTTACAGAAATAAATCCTCCCCTTACGTTTAGCAACACCCGAGTCCTTTATGCTGGAAGCATACAAAGTTCCTCATATTTCTCAATCTTCAAAACCCTGCAGAAGTTCACAAAAATGATGGGTCATCGTGACAATCTAACAGCTGCATATCTGTAATATAATGGTTTCTAGCCCGGGGATGCATACCAAAGTCTTCTCAGGGCCAGAAGTGAAAGATCACCACACCACATACAATCCAAGCTATTTTTCTCCACCCATCTTCCTTGTCTTTTATAACAACTCCCTAGAAGCTACAAGTAGTGCTGGAGCTGGATTAGGGCAGTACAGGCAGTTCTCCCCCACAAGGCGCCAAACTGAGGGGAAGCAAAATAACAACAACAACAACAACCCTATATTTATATGGATATATAAGAAGATCCATAAAGATCCTACTAAGAAGATCCATAAAAAAGCAACTGTACCACAATAAATTGTGAAAACTAAGAGATTTTTTGCGGGGTATGTGTGTGCCAAAGTTTGTCTTCACTCAAGAGGGGTCTTGCACAGTTTTTTGGCAGGAGTGCAGTGGGCAAACAGTGGATGCTGATGTGACTGACAGGTCAGTCACAAACCACCATAATGTATGAATGCTAGTACATTTTCAAGATGATGCTGTCTCTATGGGAAGAAAAGCATAACAGAGTGCTAATTTGAGATGGGGCTCAGGAGGTAGGGTTGCCATACGTCTAGGATTTAAAAGGCAAATCAATCGAAAAATCGTGGGTGGTTTTTTTTGTGTTTTCGTAAAAAACCCAAAACCACAACTTTGGGGTTTTCATGAAAAAGTTCAACAACATTGGGGGGGGGCTGGTTTTTACTTTTTGAAATATGGCAACCCTACCAAATGCTTTGCACTTACAAGCTGTCTGAAAAATGGGGAGTGCATAGCCTTCTTTTGGTGGCAAGATACCTACCTAAAAGTTAGAGTTTTAAGTCAACAATGCTGGTCCCTGAATCCCTGCCCCCCCCCCCGAATAAGCAATGTATGATGTATATTATCTCTGACCAGATTTTAAAAAACCTATGGAATTTTGAAAGAACAGCTTGAAAATTGGCACTTAAACCGATTTCTCATTTTGAAGGTATCCTCTTAAAATATATAAATGGCTATGTAAAATGAAGTTTTGACTGTTTCAACTACATGACTATTAAAAACTGCACACCTTTGTCTATGGCAACAGAGGAAGCAGTCACATTCCAACTGCATGGGACAGTTCTGGAGTTTCATACATTGGCCACAACATAGTCCCTTCCAAAATTCTTTATTTGCTTTGTCTTGCTCTCATAAAATAAGTTCAAAGTACCCACACTGACAGCACATTGAGCTTTGACAGAGTTTGGACCTCGCTTGGAATTCTCTGTTAGGGGAGACTAATACTTTTCAGTAATATGCCTATTTAACTAAGTGCAGATGTAGCTGATAAAATCTTGGATCGTTTCAAGGTTTGCAACTTACTTGCTATAATATGAACTGAACATTTGTTGTTCAGTCATAGGACACCGAATGACAAAATACCTATGGAACTAAGTATAAAACATGCAAATTGTAAAGTGAGTCTACATGGCTTGTGTAGCTAAACCAAAGCTTCAAGCGCAAACTCTCCTACATTATAAGACGTTAATACAGTGGTACCTTGGTTGTGGAACTTAGTCTGTTTGACTCCTGGAACCGTTCGAAAACCCAGGCGCAGCATCTGACTGGCTGCAGGAGCTTCCTGCACTCAATCAGAAGCCGCGTCGGATGTTTGGCTTCCGAAAAATGTTCACAAACCGGAACACTCACTTCCGGGTTTGCGGTGTTCAGGAGCCAATTTGTTCAGGGCCCAAGCTGTTCAGCAACCAAGATACCACTGTAGTGGATATCAGAACGAAAGTTGCTGCTTGGGTAAAGTAGAAACCAAATTTGGAGAGGGATATTTGGATATTCATCTTAGATATCAGATGAAAACACTATGAAGAAGACAGAAGCATGAGCAAGACCCAAAGCTCAGTGGCAGAAGACATTCTCTGCTGGCAAAAGGTTCCAGGCTCAATCCCCAAGTTTTCTAAGCAGGGCTGGAAAAGAGCCATTGTCAGTCAGTATGTACAATGCTGAGATAAGTGGATCAATGGTCTGATTTGGTAAAAGGAAGTTTCCCATGTTAACTCTTGTAATATTAGATTCCAGAAAAAACTGAAGGCAAAAATAAATAGTGGCAACCCACACACATTTCTCTATGCCTTTGCCAAGTTTAAGAAGAAACAAAAATTCAGTTTCAATTCCTCTCAGCAGGATAAATTGGGAAGCAACTTGCAACTATACACAAGCAGAGAGACAATTCCCTCATCTACCTACCTTGCATCTTCATTTGTTGAAACCAGTGTGGCAACCGCTGTTGACGGCCAACCACAGATGAAGAGAGAACATTTCACTTCCCTTAGTGCCATTTACAGTGGTACCTCGGGTTACATATGCTTCAGGTTACATACGCTTCAGGTTACAGACTCTGCTAACCCAGAAATAGTGCTTCAGGTTAAGAACTTTGCTTCAGGATGAGAACAGAAATTGTGCTCCAGCGGCACGGCAGCAGCAAGAGGCCCCATTAGCTAAAGTGGTGCTTCAGGTTAACAACAGTTTCAGGTTAAGAACGGACCTCCGGAACGAATTAAGTACTTAACCCGAGGAACCACTGTACTTAAAAAGCTTTTGTATTTCCTGGCCTGTTTAAAATCCCATGTGTAAGAAAGAAGAGGACATGCCCTATTTGTGTTTGGGCTAGTTGAAAAGATAATTTAAAAAATTGACAGGAATTGTTTTGTGTTGTATTTTATCCCCATGACATGTGGGGCAAAGATGGCAATAAAACTGAAAAAAGTATATATATTTCTAATTGCAGTGCGCTCGAGAAAATAAACAAGCTGTCACTTGTATAGTGAAGATCTGTAAACTGCAGTAAATGTAGACTTTGCAGTGTTGCTAAATTTGACTTTCAAGTTTCCTTCATGCAGTGCTGATACTGACCCTACAGAAAAAGTGGGCATGGTGAAACCAACCAGGATTGAGAAGGCCCTTGGTTTAAACCCCACACAGCTATGAAGCTCAGTGGACGACTGGGAGCCCAGCTGCTCTTTCTCTCATGATTGCTGTGCAGATGAAATGGGGTGAGAAAAAACTTGTATGCTGGATATAGTGTTCAGAAAATAGCTTTAAAAATATATATTTCCCTGAAATTTATGAATGGGCTCACTTGATTAATCAACAAAGAAATGTTCCGCAGGCACTTTTAGCTGCTTCCACCACGTTAGAACTACTTCTCTGCTTCTGGCATCTTGTGGAAGTTAAGTATTTTGCCCTGGGGCATAACACTGGGTCTGACGGCTTTCAAGTCGGTTCCAACCTTACCAGTAAATTCTATTAGTTCTTACTGGGGTTTCCCAATCATTTTTTTTATTACTATTACAAAAGTAAAATCAACACCATGATACAAAAACATTCTGTAACAAAGTAAAATATAAATAAATCTCTTTCGTTTCTCATGAAGATGCCCAGCAGGCCGGCATCCCACATTCACGGGCTCCTGAGCATTACCTGGTGATGGCAATAAGAAACAAGGCACAGCTAGCCTTCATCTTGATTGGGACCCAAAGAACTATTTCAGGGGTGCTGAAGGTCATAAACATGCCAAAGGACGACTTGACTTCCCTCTTCTCGGAACAGGAGATTCTCCCCTCTTCCTTATATTACACAACCCCTTCATTTTCAAATGTGGTTTCGTCATATGGTACAGGGGACTGTTCTTTGACAGACTCAAGTACAACACTGCCTTAGGCATAATTTGAGGGGGGGGGGGTTGTTTTTTTTTGGTATCCACAGACTTTGCAGCCTGGGCTAATGAGGTACTTGTGCATTGACAAGTGCATGATAGAATCCACCCATGGCCAGCAGCTGGCTGTGAGTTCCCTGTTCCACTACTTTGCCATTCTGGATGACTGCTATGATGTCAGAATTCTGGATCGTGGACAAACGATGAGCAATGACGATGCAGGTCCGACCCTTTCTAGCTTCATCCAAGGCCTTCTGGACAATCTGCAGTCATGGGCAAAGAAAAAAATAATATTTAGAATAATAGCCTCGATTCATCCCTACCCTGCTGCAGTGCAGGAAGCAAGGCTGCAAGCTGACTAACCTTTTCACTTTCTGTGTCAAGAGCTGACGTGGCTTCATCCAGAAGAAGTATTGCTGGTTTTCGGACAAGGGCACGGGCAATGGCTATTCTTTGTTTCTGTCCTCCTGAAAGCTGTGCTCCTTTGTCACCTACTCGAGTATTATATTTCTGTAGGTTGTTGTTGTTTTTAAAAAAGAAAAGATCACAGACATTGTGAGTGTTGTGAAGAGCAAGTTAGACCTTTCCACATCCTATTGAAACTAATAGGCTGTGTATTTGGATCCTGTGCAGATGTCAAGACCCACTGTTTGCAACAGGACTTACTCAAGGATAAGTGTGCATGGGAATGCAGCCTTAAATATGCATTTAAAAATTAATCTCTGACCATACTTTATAAGTCAACATGATAAGGTTGGGGTGGGCTACCTGTAGCCCTTGGCCTAATTTCATATATGTGGCAGGGAGAGAGAATGACCAGATTGCGGGGAGATGTGACAGAGAGACAAAAGGATATACCACCCAATTTTGGCTCCAGCCCTGCCCACCATTAGCACATGGCCCCCTCAGAAGGACCTTAGACAGGAAAGATGCCCCTTCCTCCTGCAAAGGATTTAGCTGTAGGTGTCTATGCAACTGGGTTTTGTGCAAAATAGGATAGTTATTCCTCTGGAGAAAGAGAATGCTGGAAAACTTAAGGACATCTTCATTTACCTCTGGGAGATTTTCTATGAAGTTGTGGATATTAGCTGCTTTAGCTGCTTCTTCAACTTCTTCCTGACTGACAACTCGGCTGTTGTCACCGTACTGGATGTTCTCTGTAATACTGCAATCAAAGAGAATAGGCTCCTGTTGCACAAGACCAAGTCTGGATCTTAGCCACTGTATATGTAGAGATTTGGTGTCCACGCCATCTGCAAGCTGTAGGTAGAAATGGAAGTACATAAAGTTTGAAATGAGCTTCTGCAGAGTTGAAAGATACAACAATAGGCAGCTGAACCTGTGTAAAATTTAATGGATGCACCAAGTTTATGGTCTATATTTATTGTTGGGGAAAATATATAGACATGTAGCATATATAAAGACATGTAGCATATATAAACATGTATTTTTAGGAGGAAGTAAATACAAAAACCTGCATATCAGATAAAATATGTACAATTTACAAGCAATTTTTGTGTGTTTAAAAGAAATGGCAAACGACAGGATCGAATGGACTTATTTTGAACACATATAAAACTGACACAGAATGGAAATAGCCAGATCTGTCCATCCCTACTCACCACTTGTCCTGATCCTGGGTCGTAGAATCTCTCCAGAAGCTGGATGGAAGTGCTTTTGCCACAACCACTGCTTCCCACCAATGCCAGAGTTTGCCCCTTGTTAACCTTTAAACTGAGTCCTTGCAAAACTTGAACTTCTGCTCTAGTTGGATATTCAAAATGGATGTCTCTGAATTCAATGTTGCCGTCAAATTTCACCTACATTGTGGGGGGTGGGGGTGGGAAATGAACACAGATATATGTTATGGGTTATGTATAAAGCCATATCTCAAATAAAGGAGTTTCTTTCTGAAGCCAATTTTAAGCAACCAGAAACTGAGCTGACACCAGTAAATAAAACAGCATTATAGATTTTTTCTTTTATTCCAGTAGACTACACCGAGCCTTGTTAATAAAAGAACCACAACAATTCTATTTCTAAAAGCACTATCTGTATAGTCTTACCAATTTTTCACCTTCTTCACTATAGCTATCAATCACTGGCTTCCGATCCAAAAGCTGAAAGATTCTTTGTGCAGAAACCTTTGATTTGCCAAAATCTGGTGCAAGAGAACTGGACTGAGCAACATTCATAGCAGCAAAAATCACAGAAGAGAAGACTCTGTAAAACACAAAACATAGAAGCATAGAAAAGCAAACTTTTTGTATTGAAAAGGAGAAGCCATGCATCTCTGGATTCAACTGCAACTACTGTTTATCTTGCAGAACTGAGATTTATACAGTGAACTCCTTTTAACAGGCCTGCAATATTACTATGTACAGTGCATCACTTAGCCTGTCACTAAAATAGTGTATCTGTACATATTGTGTACATACAATATATACATAAGCGCAAGCCTAAAAGAGCACCCACTGTCTGCAATTCAATTCATGATAAATTATTTGTAGGACTATCCAGGCCTACTTAAGTTAAGAAAATATACTTGAGACTGCAAACATATACACACTTTGGACTACTTTTGAGCAGACACACATAGAATTGCAATGTGAATCTATACAAGTATAACTAAGCAAAAGACTATTATAACAATGCTCAAATTAAATCAGAGGTGTTTTATTCAACGAGTATACAATTTATGTACCTGATTGCATCAATGACTGATTTGCACACTTGTAGTTATTCACACATAACATTCAACATTTGGGAAACTTTAATGTGGGACTCCCACCCTTTGCCCAAACTGCAAGTGAGGGCAGGACGGAACTTTTGTCGCTTGCTCCTCCTCTGTCACAGTCTCTTGAAGATCAGAAGGAGTCAGGAAACTTTCTGATAGTTATACATAGTTATGTATATAGATTTTCACATTAGTATTTAAAATCAGTTTATGTTTTGAGTTCATTGCCTAGCTCTTACAAAATACAGAAGACACACTCACATAAAAAGTTGCTCAAAGTCCATTAAACAATGGGCAATAAGCCACGCTCCGAATCTGAAGACAGCAGCATTTATAAAAAAGTTGAAACACTGGGCTATTCCATATGTAACTCCATGAAGGGGAGCCTTCTTCAGAGAGTCCCTGTTAAACGAGAAAGCCAATTAAAGAGTCACAATTCATCATGAAATAAAAGGAACAGTAGAGCTTCTACTCCCAAAGTATTTTTAAAAAGCAAGTCAGAGTCATTGACTAAGATGCTAGTAAGCTTTTAAAACCAAAAAACCACACTGAAGAAATGAATCCTCAACAAATGGGGGTAGTGGAATCACACTATCCATTTTCTCAACACCCAGCCCATCTTGGGACATGACTCATCTATATATGTTGGGCATAACAAGCAAGTAGCAGAAATCCAAATACCATAAGCCCAATAGCTTGTCATTGTTATCGGGCAAGATTGGTCAAGCAAGGGTCTTCACCACTTACATACTGTGCCCAATCTGTGTAGGTGATAACAATTTCTTACTATTCTGTATCAGTGTGATGTTAAATTTTGAATCCTCTTTTGCAAATCCTTTCTTTTGATCCGAGTTGAATATACTTCTAAGTTGTATATACTGCCATCTGTCAACTTCATATTGCCGCATCTCTTCATATGATTTTAATCTGATTTTCCCTTGTTCCTCTTCCAATAATTGTCTATATGTTAGCCAATTTGTCCTCATATTCAATTTTTTGATAGCATATGCCTCCAGTGGTGATATCCACCAAGGTGTCTGTGGTTCCAGATGCAATCTATATTTGTTCCAAACTTTATATAATACACCTCTTAATACATTACTTGTGAATTCTTTATTGACTTTTACTTTCTCATAATTAAGATACGCATGCCATCCAATCTGTGTAGGTGAGCTGAGTATGGCAGCAGAACAAGATAAACCCATGCTGCACACTGAGAGACATGGTATCAAAACCAAGACTTGTACTCCACTAATACTAAACCAGCTTGGATCAAGATACGCTCCTCAGTGTCTCTAGTGTCATCAGTAAGACTGTTCGAAAATTAGCTGTAAATGAAGTAGAAATTCCTCCCTTTCCATTACAATACTAAAAGAGGATCATGGGAGACACATCATCACATCGCTATGGGAACTCAGAACTGCTGGGAACACAAATAAGACTGTTTGAATGGTGGTTTCTGCATGCACCAAAGTTTTGAAAAGTCTTTTGAAAAGACTGTCTAGCAGTTGTATGCTAAAACTCAACATATTCAAAGTTCTGCAGGAGCCATTGGGCTTTACACATCACTCACCTGCACATTTTGGTACTAGCTGTTTAAAGCCATTGCAAGCCCCAGATATTTGGACCTTAAAGGGGTGATATCTATCTATCTAAATTGTGTATGGGGAAATGGTACAATCACACTTCTAGAAATTTAACATAATTATGCACAATAATATTTTTAGTTTGTGAAATAATGTAATTAAGAAATAAAACTCAAGAACTCAAAGAAGACGACGACAGACCTGCATACAAATTTACCTGTATGGACCTTCTACGCTTGAAATATATCTCTCAAAAAATCTGTCTTCTCTTGTTAATGAAACCACAGTTCTTATATTTTCTACAGCTTCTGTTGAAATCTGATTTGGGAAACAAGGAAAGTACAAGGCTTTAGAAAATCCCGATTTCACTAAAGGTTAGGTGTTCTCCATTAGATGTTTAACCTCATAGCCATACACAATATTGAACTAGGTGCAACTAAGGGTCCAGGCATTGAAACAATGTCAGAAGTCAGGCACTTGCACCCGGAGGGTTTGGGGACAGTAACCTGAAGTAACATATTAGAAGTGGTTATCTGCAGTGGTTACTCCTTCGGTCAAGTACTTGCCGGACCATCCAAAGTGCACCATGCTGAGCAACTTGTGGAGGAATCACTGTCCCCACTGTGAGTATTGATATCCCAGCAGTCATATCAGGTAAGTGGCCACGATTCTGCCTGAGCCAGTCTGTCACCTGAGGGCACCCAAATACAGCTGGGGACATCTTCCAGTTCCATGTACGGTCGTACCTTGGAAGTTGAACGGAATCTGTTCCAGAAGTCAGTTCGACTTCCAAAACGTTCAGAAACTGAAGCACAGTTTCTGATTGGCTGCAGAAAGCTCCTGCAGCCAATCAGAAGCCGCGGAAGCCTCATCAGACGTTCGGCTTCCAAAAATAGTTTGCAAACTGGAACAGTCACTTACGGGTTTGCGGCATTCAGGAGCCAAAACGTTTGAGAACTAAGCTGTTTGAAAACCAAGGTACGACTGTAATTGAACGAACCCTGTATAGATTCCTAGGGCATTCACATCAACTGCTTTAATGGTTGGCTTTAGTGGAGTGTGTTTTAAATCAGTGTTCATCCTTTTACTGTGTTGAAAACTTGATGATATAGAAATATTTTGAAAAGCCAATCGACAAACCAACCAAGGGCTTCTGGGATAGGCATCAATGGACATGAATAAAAGTTAAGAGCCGTGTTGGAAATTTTCCCTTCTATCACTGCCACAGATCTAATCAGAACCACATGTTTTAACTATATAGAACTCACTCTTCCAGCTTCCTCAAGGGCTTTTTGATCCTTCGACGCATGGCCGGTCACTGATTTCAGTCGTATAACATGGGCTATCATAACGAAAGGAATACAGGCCAGGATGAGCAATGTTAATTGCCAACCATGCACAAAAGCAATAATAATAGCTGTCAAGAGTGTAAAGATCGTTGAGGTTAATAAGGCCAGCCGACTTCCAGTAGCCTAGAAATAACAAAAACAAAAGACAACACGTTGGAAGTTAATCTCATTAAAGAATTAATTGCAAACACACATGCAAGTTAATCATGTTCATTAGTGGGTCTAACTCTGCATATGGCTAGCCATTGTCTTACTAAAATAGCAAGTGAGGCACAATTATACTTGGGAGTTTAACTAAGAAGGCACAATGCACATATTTAATCTCTCTTTAGCTTCAACCAATATAGCAGCCCTGCTCTTGCCAAGTCATGTTCCTAAAAGTTTTGAAAAGCCATTCAGTAGTCCTCACAAAATTCCTCTTTGTTAGTTAGAATGATTCATCAGGATTTTTGCAAAGGCACCTTGGAATGAAAGTAAGAGTCTCTATGCCAACATGATGTCAGCATGAGATGCTACAAATCTAGTAGGCTAGTTGGCACAATTACACCTGCAACCCAATGTCATAGTGCTGAAATAAATCATCCAGAGACATTTCTGTCAAACAACATTTAAGCGACTGCAGGAGATCCTCTCTAGACTGACCTCTCTCACTCTTAACCAACCCAAATGCCCCAAGGTGTGCATTATATTCAACAAGCTACATTTACCAGAAGTCAAGTTTATAGCAAGCTGAATCATCGATAGCCACAAATTAAAGACAATGAGTTGTGTACTGCTCAATTTTATTCAGAGCAGACTCTCTGAAATTTATGAACCCAAGTTTGTCATATCCATTAATTTCCGATGGTCTACTCTGAATATGACCAGTACTTGATACAACCCACTGTCAGTGTGGTACATTAAATGCCATGCAGATTCAAAAGCAGATTTATTATGCTCTTTCCACAAAAGCTTCTTTTTGAAATCACTGCAATTTAAATTTCAATTCTATTTTTTTTTTTTAAAAAAAGACCCCTAAATAAATGGAAAACATACTCCTTTGACTTGAGAAGCATCTGTAGCAAGCCGGGTTAGCAAAACTCCGATGCCGTTGTTATGGTCATCAAACCATCCAATTTCCTGAAAATGAAAAAGATGGTTCAGATAATTTTTGCCTTTGCAAATGGATATTGTCATAGCTCAAAGCAGCCTATGAAGCATTTGAAGTACGTGATAGGTTTTTCATTTTTAAAGAAACACTTAGGAAGTTGGGAGGGATTGTAGCTCTGTGACAGAGCAGAAGTTTTGCCTCAGGCTGAATCTTTGGCATCTCCAAGCAAGAGTTGTGGCCAATCATTGGAGACAACACTGAGCTAGATGGTCTGACTCAGCAGGTCAACTTCCTACGTTCCCGCAATCTTTTGTGATTCGAGGACCCTTTTCCCGCTTGGGAATAATATGGACACAGCATATAACATGGACACAGCATATTAGGTTAATGGGCTAGAAGAGGTCACAACTTTATTGATTACAGCATGTGAGAGGTATTGGCTTAGGCACTGGACAACCGCAAATTTTGACTCCACCCACTCAGAGAGGGGTGAGTCTGATGAGGGTTAACCACCAGTAGGGGGAGTCTGTTGATGCAAATACAACTATAAGCTCTCCCCTGATGTCACCAGGGGTCGTGCCATGACCCCCAGCCGCACAGGGCATCGGACAGGATGCACGACCGCCGGATTCCTTTAACGGAATACCCAAAAGTGAAGGGGCAGGTGATGGCCACACCTAGCCCTTCCACACACCAACAACCTATTCCAATGCCTAACCGCCAAATACCAAGAAAGTTGTGACGACTGCTACGAGGTAGGCGGAAAAAACCAAAAGGCCAGTGCCAATTTGCCAATTGGAAAAAACTCCTACCAGGGCCCCCTAGGCAACCAGGGCGACCAACCACAGGTCCATAGCAAGGTCAAGCGAGCAGCTAAGCCCTAAAGGTAGTGGTGGGGGGGGGACTTGAAAAGATCGGCAGTGCAATGGTGGGGAGAGCTGGCACGGCCACATTTGAGTGGCTAAACCACGCCCCCGAGCTGCCACCTGATTGGGTGTTCTTCTGGGAGGCGTGGCTTGCCAGCGATGGAGCAGGGCAGGGGCCGGAACGCCCCCTGTATAACGCGGGAAACTGTTCCCGCTCAAAATCCCTCCCCTCCTGGAGGAGGAGAGGCTTTGTATAATGACTTGAGGCTTCCCTACTTGCCCTTCAGCATGGAGACTAGAGACTGCCCCTGAAGACAATGGACCACATCCCAGACCCACCCACAAAATTGCCCCCCTTTTCCTGTATCTGTAGGTGTTACCTGTTGAAGCAATGCTTTGAATGAAAGTGATCTCAACCGCATAGTCAGAGCTTCCCCAGACCTCCCAAACATGAATCCCTGAAAAATGAAAACATGAAGCATTTAGATTTTATTTACCTGTACAATGCCATAGCATTTTTAAGACTGATGAGCTATAGACTAAAGCGCTGTAATAGTTGAAGCTATTTACTAATACAGAACTCAATAGAAATCCTACAGTATGTTCTGGTATTTTTCCAATTGTTAAGCTAAGTTGAGGAAAGGTTGCTGAGGGCCAACATTTTTCTGTTAGTTGAACAAGAACCAGGCTGTCCTCATTTCAACACACACTGTATTTCCATTCCAGTGCTTCTAGAATAGAAATAAGGCCAATTTGCAAAACTAGTCACCCTTTTGCCTTTTCAAGCTTGCTCCTCTAATTAAGACAGTGATAAAGTGTCCTATAAACATAACACCCACAAATTTTGAGTATTGATCATGAAGGTTACTAGTCCACCTTTCTAGTCCCAAGTTCCAGGGGGCAGAGGGGGACTAGATGTTGGTATGAGAAATGCAGTAACAAGAAGGGGTCATGAGCAGGAGTGGCAAAACATGTGTAAAAATAAGTAGTCAGATAGGAGAAGAAATTAGCTTCCTGCAACTGCAACAATCATCTTCTTTCTTGGTGCTACTGGCTACCAGGCACATAGGTCGCTGCACCATCAGTCCTAAATATTCTTTTACCCAACACCTCGTCCCATTTTATTTACATTTGGTGTACTTATCATACTGAATGCACATAGGTCGCTGCACCATCGGTCCTAAATATTCTTTTACCCAACACCTCACCCCATTTTATTTACATTTGGTGTTCTTATCATACTGAATGCACTGCAGTGGTTGCATTTCTGAGTGACAGCAGCTCCTCCCTCCATTTATAAAGTTCCAACCCACTCCAGCTATTGCCTTTGCAATATCAGTTTTAGGTCGCTGGGGCACAGAAGTTCATAGAAATAGGTGGTAGGATCCTACTCTCATCATCTTGCACCTCAACCCCAGTTCTGGAGCTGCCATTACAATCAGAGTTTACAGTAATCATGCATCATTATTTGACTGAAATGTGCCCAGAAGCTTGAGGGCTTCTATATCTTAAATAAATGAAAACCATGGTGCCTCAACACCATTTATTTATTTTTTGCTGGGGAGTGGGGACAGGGATTTCTTGTTTTGCTTGAATTTTCTGAGTGAGTTGGTACGTTATCATGGTCTCACAAATTTCAGCAATCTGCTGTGCCATTCTGATATTATTATTATTATTATTATTATTATTATTATTATTATTATTTAGGCCTTAGGATAGTCCTTACCTGGACAACATATGTTATTAAGCTGATCACTCCCAACAAAAGAAACATAAGAGAAAACAACACCGTTTTTTGGCTTTTCTTGTTTTCGTCTGTTTCTTGGAAAGCCTGGGTTACAAAGCACAGAGTTAGTCACCAGTACTAGAAAATCATTTATTTATTTTCTACACTGCCTGTCACCCGAGGATCACAGGGTGATTTACAATATAATAAAAAAAAAATAATACATAACATGTGTCAGAGCTGGCTCCAGGTCCCAGCTCACAGAGGACCAACGCTAGCCGGCAGTAATGTACAAAAGTCTTTATTGAAGTACAGTTTCCATTTTCAAGCCGCAGCGCCCCAGCTCTACGTCTAGGGGTTAGATCGGCGAAGCTCCGTCTGAGTCTCCGCCCCTTGTACACCAACTTAATATCCTAGCCCTGCTCCACCTTTTCCGCCTGACTGTTCTTCTCTGGGTCCCTCTGCCCCCTGGGGTCTCTTCTTTCCGGGATTCTTCTGACGCTGACGTTCCCCCCCCCTGACTCTTCTCCCTCCTTTCGGCGGGCTTTAGGACCTGGCTCCCTTTCCGGGCTGCCTACTGTGCCACCTTCCTGTGCATTTGAACTTGGCGCGCGCGCCCAACCTTCCACCTTCCGTCTGACCGTTTCTTCGCTCCCCGATGGAGGTGTGGCCACTCCTGACTCGTGCCCTCCCCCCTGTTGTGAGCTGCCAGCGCTTGATCCCTGGCTCCCTTCCTCTTCCCTGCTCTCTGGCGGTGACGCTGGTCCCGATTTCCAACTGCTCCCTTCTGAGTCCCCTCTGGCTCTATCTTCCTGGGGCGTCCCCTAGGCTCCCCCTTGCCCTGGCCACTGGTGCTCCTTTCTGTGAATCTTCTGATTCACTGGAAAGACTCGGAGATCTCGGGTCGTCGTCATCACTCATCTTTTCTTCTGCCTCCTCCCCCTCGCTCTCTGTTTCCTCCCTTGCCCTTGCCTCTGCTCCTGAACCCCTGACAACATGGTAACAAACAAAAACAATACCCCGAGCCCGCCAGTTTAAAAGACCATAGTTTATTTAGTTAGCCAAAGGCCTGGGAGAAGAGAGCCATCACTGAAGAGGCCCTGTCCTCCACTTCAAAAGGCAGAGACCCTGAGAGAAGAGACTCTCCAAGTGTCAGAAGACTGGAAAGATTAATATGGATGGAGTTGCCCTTTAAAGCTACCTAGGGCTTTAAAATGTTATATGCATTTTGAATTCTGATTGGAAACAAACTGGAAGCCAGGCAAGATCTTTTATAACTGGCCAAATATGTCCAAATCAGAAAGCCAACTTATGTACAGTACTGTATTTTTCCATGTATAACATGCCCCCTGTTTGTGGGGACTCCAAATTAAGAAAATGGGGGGAGATTGTCAAGAGTTGTTAAGGACCAACGCTGAAAATAGCAAGCAAAGCAAATGCCGCCATTCACCTGCCCAATTGACACAGGGGCAGCCAATCGACAACAGCCCTTGCCGCGGCCACCAATCAACCGCCCAATAGCCGCTGACAATCTCCTGCTCATGGCACTACCTGTGTATAACACGACCCCCAATTTTAAACATAATTTTAAAAGATAAAAACCTCATCTTATACACAGAAAAATACGGTAATTTCTAGTTGGCCCATAAAAAGGCATGCAGTGGGGAAGACTGAAAGCTACCCTCCTGACCTGACACCAGAGTCACTGTAGCTTATGTGAATCAAACTGGGCTGCACTGGCAGAGCCTATCCAGTACTCTTGCAGCCCCAACCTCTCTACTGCTCCCAGACGAGTAAGCTGTAGCGAGGCCAGTGGCAGGAGGGCAGCTCCATAGCCCCACAGGCTGCCCCCACAGTTGCCCAATATTTAATGCATATTGGCATTAAATCTTTCAGGCTTTTAAATTATCTAGAATGTGTTTTTTAAAAGTATGCACTGGTTGAGAGCAAAAGGTGCTGGCAAGTATCCTTATTATAAAGGCACTTGGACCAGATGTCATTATGGAAAACCAACCAATGACACACTGAATTTCTTTGTTTTCAATGAACTGAGAAGAGGGTAACATCCTAAAGAGAATGGAAAGTGGAAGCAAAAGGTTTTTTGCAGAGGCTGAAGTATAAGCTTCTAAACTTACCCCAATTATTTTACCGAACAGAACAGCAAATGCAGGCGTGACACCACCTCCAATGGCAGCAGCAATGATTCCAAACACTATAGAGCAGAATTCAGGCTTATTCAGGGCTAGAATTCTAGAATAAGGCACCTCAGGGAGCTTCTCTTCCTGTAAGAGACAAAATTCCAGTTGTCACCAGCGGGTGAGAACACTGAAGGGGGTAATGTAATTGCCTGAGCAATGAACCATGCTAGCAGAAGATTGCTGGGAAATTAGTATGAACTCAGAATGTACTAAATACGGAAACTGACTGAGCTATGCACACCCATTGATTGTCAGCAAAGTTTTAATTGCTCAAAAATGTGGAGAAAACGAAGGGGGAAAATGGAACAAAAGGCCGACTCATGTCAAAATCTATCCAAAAGGGCACTGAAAAGTCAAACTGGATCAGTCTTAATGAATGGCAACTTTAACGCATGAACCTTTCTGATGAATGATTTTTAAAAGAGTCTTTTAATTTAATTTTGATTTCTCATCATTTTCATGTTTTGATGTAAGCCGCTTAATTCTTCAGAAAAAAAGGGATCTCAATGTTTAAAAATTAAAAAGTAAAAATAGAGAACATGAGTCTAGCACAGCTACAGCCATCCTTGAAGTTGGTGGTTAGGAAGTAATATCACAAGTGTATCAAACCTCTTCCAAATTGCTTTGTCTATCAGTCAAGTCCAATTACCAAAACCACCAGAGAGTTGTACAAAACTGCAATTTAACCAATATATCTTTTTCTCCAGATATGGACATAGGTGTATCTTTATGTCAGGTTATATGAAGACAGAATCAAGCATACAAGTTTGTAGAAAATATCACATGAAGTCATGAGGCAAGTTTTTCAGACAAGCTATTTTTCACAGGATTGATAGATACTGACAGAAGCATGACCATATTTCGGCATATTATTATTACTATTACAATGGATATATTAATTACCTTTTAAACCATCGTCTCAAGGAGATTTACTCAAAAGATTATTTAAAACAGTTAAAAACACAAATTCATTTAAAACAAGAGTAGAACCTTAACAACTGGGCACTCATGGTAAAGACCCAGCTGGGAAAATCTATTCTCAGCTTTGCAAAATGGATGCTTCCAGGAATGCTACACCGGGACTGTGTTTTTCACTGGCTCCCAGTTCCACTTTCCCACTCTTAACTCCATCCCTTCTTCCACTTTGCCTACTGTGAAACAATATTTTGTTCATCTGTCAATACCAGGCATAGGCAAACTCGGCCCTCCAGATGTTTTTTGGGACTACAACTCCCATCATCCCTGACCACTGTTCCTGTTGGCTAGGGATGATGGGAGTTGTAGTCCCAAAACATCTGGAGGGCCAAGTTTGCCTATGCCTGGTCAATACTCTCTTGTTTGTTTGTTCTGCACAACTTTTTCTAAACCACTGGACTGTCTCCCATTTCTGCAAACCCCCCCCCTATTTTTTTTTTCCATGCATGAAGACAAATGCGATAGGGGAAGAAAACAAGAGAGCGCTCCCAGGGCATTCGACACCTGACAAGCAAGTCTGTTTCCACAATGGAAAATGTCAAGTCTGCCCACCAGTGGATCTAAACAGTGGTTCACCTCATCTGCTTTACCTCTCTCTTGTGCTTTGGTTGGGGTGGGTGGGTCTGCCTTTATTTTTCACTGCCTATTTAATAATAATGGAAACTTTCCATTGTTATAAGAGTCCTTCAGGAAGTGGGTGGATAAATTCCTGCTGGCACTGCGTGAACCCACCTCTGGCCTATGCTTCAAATTTGCAGAATTACTTTGTTCAGAGTCCAGCCATGGAAAGCCATTTGGACTGAATGTAGTGAAGGCATTTCCAGCTTGACTACTCATGTGCCAGAAAACCCTACATGTTAGACAGTTCCCACCATACCAATGCTGGTATGGGGAAGAACATCCCCTGCATGGTCCTCCTTGTTCCTTCACACATTCAACCTGACCCCTGTAGAGAGCTAATGAAAGATTATCTCTGAGTGATAGTGTCAGGGACTGGGCAGAGGAGCAATAGTGGAGACCGACTCCCTTCCAGAGGGAGGGAGGTCAGAGCTCAGAGGAAGATGAGGGGGAAAGTTGGGAAATAATGGGAGAGAAGGAGCAGGCAGAGCTGGAGCAGAAGCTGGCTGACACGTTATCACTAGAAAGCATTCCAGACCCACCATCTCCCAGAACCCGGCGAGCCTTAAAAGTAGGAGAGCAAAGAGCTTGAAGACAGATGCCACTAAGTGGTGTGATGCTGATGACGAATGAGGAAGTGGGCGAGAAGGGTGTGTGTAGAGATTTACTTGGGACAACGCCATTATCCAAGAGGCTGGGTTCCAAAGCCTCTCTCTGTAAATACTGAATAAAAAGCGGATGCTAAGAAACTTTTCCTTGTCTTTGTACGTTCCTGGCAACCGGCTGTAGAAGTTGCTTGCAGCCGCCTGACAGATAGAGACTTTATATTTAAACCTCAGCCAACATACATGCAACAATAAAAAGAATATGGATTATGTTCATGAAAGCTGAAACTGAACAGTAGTCAGGTCTAGCATGATGTATAAGAAACACAATGCACTACCATCTTAACAAAAATGGAATGTTCTGTTCTAAATTTTATGCTATTCTCACAAGGCATGTTAAGAATTAATTTTAGCACCAACCACTTTCTTCTTCTTCCCGTTCTTCTTCTTCCTCCTCTTCCTCTTCTTCCTGTCAGAGTATCTTTTCGTAGAAGCCCTACTGAGGCTGCGTTTACGGAAGCTTCCTCCCTTAGCTATTTCTGTGCCACCAACAGGATTTTCCAAGACACTGGCTTCTACGTCATTTAGATAATCATCCTCAGAGTCGTCGTCATCTTCCTCAGTCTCAAAATCTGTTTCTTCTACTGTTTCATCGCTTTGATCATCTCCACCATAGCACTAAGGTAAAAAGGAATTAGTCATTCCGAAGAAAATTTATTACCCATGGAAAATATCATGAGAAACGTATTTAATTACTATGTACAATGATTAAATCTCTGTACACTATGTACAATGATTAAATCTCTGTGGCGTATTCTGAAGTGGCGCAATTCCAGATTTTTTGGGTGGTGGTGTCATTTTTGGGTTCCATTCCAAAACTAGTTGCCCAAGAGATATTCAATAAAAGGATTCTAGCATAGTCTTTCTTTTGATACATGAAGGTTCCCCCCCTTTTTAAACGTGCAATGAGTTTTTGACAAGAGTATTTAAACAGGCTCTCACACTTCTGCTCTGAAACCTATGGAACCTGTACTACGTGCTTTTCCTGAACATGTAGAGCACCTCTAACTGAAAAGTACTTGCCTATTTCTATCAATGAAAGTGGAATTAAAATAAATAAAAGTACCCAGTACAGTAGTTCTCAGAAACAGACAGAGACAGAAGAAAGCACCAGTTCAGTCTGTAACTTTGCTTGGGTGTCATCTGGGCAGATGGGTAGAAATAACCCTTTTAAGGCTGAGGGCTATACACGCATGGTCAACTTTCTGGGGCCCTATGTCAAAGTTGGCATGGCCAAATGATTGGGTTGGTTTTTTAGCAACAATTTTTGTGGGGTATTCTGAGCATCACAGAATCACAGCAGGGGACTCACGGGAATCATCAGTAAAGAAGGGGGGTAGGATTATTATTATTATTATGAAAAATGGACATTTGGGGTGCCACAAGAAACATTTTAGTATTGTGGCATTACAGTGGCTTTCAGCATTTGAGGCATAGGTTTTCAGGACCCACCTTATTTTGTATGGTTGTAAGTGTGAAGGGCAGGAAATAACTAACTAAAACTAACTAAGTAACTTCCATTTTAAAAAAAGAAAATGGGGAGGGTCTGGGCCCTCTCTTCAAAAAACCTCTTGCATGACCTGATACGACCCATAGGTCATGGGTTAGCCATCCCTGATATATATGAATTCTTTGTTATGTTACACTAGAGAAGCAAACAACATTTGGCAAAGACAAACATGTGTTGTTTCTCTTGAGTATCCCCATTTGTGTGCAAATTAGCTTTTAACCACCACTGCTGTGCCCACCAAGCGTGAATGCTTAGCTGTTTCAAGCACCTTCAATCAACACAGGGAATATAATTGGGTGAAAAGGCAAACCCAAATGGTAGGTGCAGTAGCATGATACAAACCATACAAAAGTGGTCCATTGTAATGGTTTCGCTTCTTTGGCAACCTGCCATCTTTCCCAACACTCTTAACTCTGTGAAAAGGATCTCTAGTCTCTCACCCACCTGCCACAAAGCCCTGCATACTTCCATGCTTCACCTGGTCCAACCTCTTCTCTTTCTCTGAGTTCCCATTATGCTGGCCCATGGGTTTAGCTTTATGTGTAAAATGGGCCACGATGGCTCATTACCTGCTGCATTACAAGTGCATAGTAGACTCCCTTATGTGCCATGAGCTCGTCATGGGTCCCCTGTTCAACAACGACACCTTTCTCAAAGCCAGCAATAATGTCGGCTGTCCTGATGGTGGAGAGTCTGTGAGCAATCACAATGGTGGTTCGCCCAGTTCTGGCCTTGAGGGGGAAAAAAAAGGGTGGAAGGCAAACATTTTTGTATACACAAACACAAGAAACATACAGTATTTTTTGCTCTATAAGACTCTTTTTCCCTCCTAAAAAGTAAGGGGAAGTGTGTGTGTGTCTTATGGAGCGAATGCAGGCTGCGCAGCTATCCCAGAAGCCAGAATAGCAAGAGGGATTGCTGCTTTCACTGCGCAGCGATCCCTCTTGCTGTTCTGGCTTCTGAGATTCAGAATTTTTTTTTCTTGTTTTCCTCCTCCAAAAAGTGGGTGTGTCTTGTGGTCTGGTGCGTCTTACAGAGCGAAAAATACGGTATACACAAGAAACTTTGTTCATCTGACATCTGCACACAGAATGTCTAAAAGGAGGCGTCCCAGAGATTATTTATTTACTACCAATAACATACATCCAACAATTCTATTAATCACCTCTTATATTTAACTAGATTTTTTAGTTATAATTCATCTCTCACATTTGATTTCCTTTCAATGTATTTTCAGCCCATGATTAGACATATCATTATTGCTGTTTCCTCAACCGATTTAGCATTTCCTTTACAGATTTCACATTATCATCTCAGTGTTGGCTAAATTAACATGGTTAACACTACAGTACACCAAGTCTCACTGCTTTGGCATCTTGCATTTTTGTTTGTTTTTATTTAAATATTTTAAAATCACCCATAAGGGGGTGGGGAATCCAAGGTGCTATACAACCAAGCATTGCAGGGGGGTGGACTAGATGATCCTCAGGGTCCCTTCCAACTCTACGATTCTATGATAACAGACTATTTACCTTATCAAGTGCTGCTTGCACTATGGATTCACTTTGATTATCCAGAGCAGAGGTAGCTTCATCCAGCAACAGGATCTTGGGGTTCCTGGCTAGGGCACGAGCAATTGCTATACGTTGTTTCTGTCCTCCACTCAGCTGAGCTCCCCTTTCACCAACCATGGTGTCAAATTTCTGGGAAATTCAAAGCTCAGAAATCAGACTGAATCACATTAGAGTTTCCACTCTTAGTTACAAACAAGAAAAGGCGATGCTGCGTAGAAGTAACACTCTACAGCCAAACACAAAACATTCAGTAACGTTCAGCAAAGGAGCTTTCGTTTCTGTTTTCAGGGTATCATACCTCATGAGCATGGGTAAGCAAACTAAGGCCCGGGGGCCGGATCCAGACCAATCGCCTTCTAAATCCGGCCCGTGGACGGTCCGGGAATCAGTGTGTTTTTACATTAGTAGAATGTGTCCTTTTATTTGAAATGCATCTCTGGGTTATTTGTGGGGCATAGGAATTCATTCTCCCCCCCTTCAAAATATAGTCCAGCCCCACACAAGGTCTGAGGGACAGTGGACTGGCCCCCTGCTGAAAAAGTTTGCTGACCCCTGCTCATGAGCATAAGGACTTATTACTTGCAGCAGAGATGGTGCTAATAACAGATTTATCTGTAAATATCTGGGACGCGGGTGGCGCTGTGGGTTAAACCACTGAGCCTAGGGCTTGCCGATCAGAAGGTTGGTGGTTCGAATCCCTGTGACGGGGTGAGCTCCCGTTGCTCGGTCCCTGCTCCTGCCAACCTAGCAGTTCGAAAGCATGAAGTGCAAGTAGATAAATAGGTAGCGTTCTGGCGGGAAGGCAAACGGCATTTCCGTACACTGCTCTGGTTCGCCAGAAGCAGCCTAGTCATGCTGGCCACATGACCTGGAAGCTCCCTTGGCCAATAAAGTGAGATGAGCGCCGCAACCCCAGAGTCGTCCGCGACTGGACCTAATGGTCAGGGGTCCCTTTACCTTTATATCAGGGACAGATTTAGCTAACAATACCTGGAAACTTTCCCAATGGAGAGAAGAAGGGGCGAAAGTGCTATATTGGCACTCCAGTAATAAAACGGGTTTCTTCATTTGTGTGAACAGTCTAAATAATTTGGTTAGCTATTCACATTTGATTCACCAGTGTGTCCTGTAAGATTGAATATGCCATTTGCTAAGAATAAGTTTTTCTGTTATCAAAAGGAAGCAAAGGATTGGTTGACTGGAGCCATCTCAATGATTAACCACAGAGCTTACCCGGCTCTAGGTGGGCAGTGGTTGTGGCCCCTCGCGGGCTACCCTCCATTTCCAGAGTAGTGAGGAATCACCTCCCAGCAGCCAGCCATTGTAAATTCCCCGGACAACCACACTGCAGTGCAGGACAGCCCGCCAAGACTCAAGATTAAACTGCCAATGGTTGGGCTCGATCATGCGATGGCAGCAAGAGTGGTTCCTGGACTGACTTGGTTTCCCCCCCAAATGCCCTGTTTTGGACTGGTGACAGGAGGCCAGTTTAGCTTCAGAGCTGAGCAGAGGGGCATTTCCACTCACTCCAGTGCCCCCGCCCCCCACAGGCAGATGTACAGCTATGTTGTTGTTTTAAAAAAGAAAAATTCTTTGTCCATCTACTGGAGTGAAAAACAATTAGCAATACAGTCATACCTCTTGTTACGTTCGGTTCAGGTTATGTCTTTTCAGGTTGTGTACCGCGGCGACCCGGAAGTACCGGAAACGATTACTTCTGGGTTTTGCAGCTTGTGCATGTGCAGACACGCAAAATGAGATCATGTGCATGCGCAGAAGCGGCGAATCACAACCCGCACGTGTGCAGATGCAGGTTGCATTCTGTTCAGGTTGCAAACAGGGCTCTGGAACGGATCCCGTTCACAACCAGAGGTACCACTGTACAGTCGTACCTTGGTTCTCGAACAGAATGCGTTCCGGGAATCTGTTTGACTCCCAAAACTGTTAAAAAACCAAGGCGCGGCTTCCAATTGGCTGCAGGAACGTCCTGCAGCCAATCGGAAGACGCAGCAGACAGAACACTCACTTCCAGGTTTCAATTGTTCAGGAGCCGATTTGTTCGGGAGTCAAGGCGTTTGAGATCCAAGGTATGACTGTAGTTTAAAAGCTGACACATGTAAATCCTTGCACATGTAGGAACGAAGTTCTCCAGATCGTAACAGAGAATATGACAGTTCAGGTACTCACATCAGGAAGTTTGGATATGAAGTCATAAGCATTAGCTTCTTTTGCTGCTTGCTCAATGTCAGCATCAGTAACATCCTCTCTGCCGTAGCGGATGTTGCCTGCTATTGTAGTAGCAAACAATACGGGTTCCTGGCTTACAATGCCAATGTTTTCTCTCATCCACTTGAGATTGAGTGTCCGGATATCATGTCCATCTATGGTTATCTGGGATAAAGATGTAGCAATTTGTAAGAGGTCACAAAAGCAGGTTTTAAAACGGGCTTAGTTAATAGATACATTCAGATAAACTTTCTTAGATAACTTCTAACTTTACGGATGATGCAGGGATAAATATACTTCAGTAAGCTATAGTTTTCCATTACATCTGAACCACAAAACTGTGGTTATTTGCTTTTAAAGAAGTATGGATATGAAACTATGATTTAAAGTTGGCTTCAGATCCAGTCTGGTTTGGAAACCACTGACCACAGTTTCCTGGTTCGAGCATAACAGATGACTTCTGGGTTTGTTTACTCAATTGCAAAGGGAGGGTGAAGAGGGGAAATGAGGTTTGTTCATATCTTACTATGATTGCTTGAATGCAGCCTATTTCATTAAGGGAAAAGCAAGCTAAAATGTTGACACATATGTACATACAGACTTGCCCTGGCCAAATCTTATGATCCTTCTTAATATGAACTTTTTGTATTTAGGCAATTAGTTTCAATAAGAGTTGTATACTGTATATTGACTTGAGACTACAGTAGGTCATGAAGGTAAAAAAAGGGCAACAAAATAAAAAGAGGTCAAGGCATTGCTAAGAAAAGCAAAAACTACAAATTGGGAGTTGGAAGTGGGATTAGATAAAGCCAGAGACAATTTAGAATAACTTCAGCAAGAAATATGCAGGAGAAATTCAAAACTTAGAGGGGTCCTGGTAGGCTTGCAGAGAAGGAACGTTGTAGCTTTCTTAAATGAACATTTAGCACAATATATATATAATTAGATCAGCTCTGATCCAATAATATAAAGGTAGCATTCAGGCTGGGTGCTAGCCAAATATGGAGAATATTTCCCAAGTTACATTATGGTCAAGTTTATTAGCTTATGAGAATAAGAGGCCATTAACCATTTTAACTAGGTGGGTGAAAAATTATCAACCGAAGGCCATGATATTGAAATATTATCTATATCCATCCTGATGTTCTTACTAAACATAGGGAGTTTAAATTTCTAAGATATCAATTAAGGAATAAAAAAATTAAATAACGATGGGGCATTCTGTTTAGACTTTCAATAAGGACAATGCCTGACAGTTAAAACTATTGAAGAGCTGCATGAGATGGAAGGGAATCTTAAGTTGACATTTTCAAAGATGGAAAATAATCCAAATTCATGGCCCAAAACTAAAGATGGAGATCAGACAGCAGAAAGAGTAAATGTCAAGGATTGAGGGAAGGAACCAGCTTCATATAAGGGCACAACAGATTTGGGCAAAGAAGAACGTCAAGTAAAGGAAGGCCAAATAATCAAATAATTCAGAGAATTTCTAAGATTAATTTTAACAAAAATATTATCTGTGTAGAATATAATATCAAAAATATAGTCATGTATATATATTTGTATAATATATATAAATGAAAATGTTAATACTATTTATTTTTTTTGGGGGGGGGAATCATTTGAGACCATTTTTATTCTGTTGAAATAATATGTAAACTAAATGACCAGAAGCAGGAAGCACAGACTAAGAATTGCTCTTAAATTCAGTGAAAGTATTTAAAATGGGATTACTTAACACAGTGGCAAAAGCACAGATGAATCTCTTACAGCAATGACTTCCAACCAAATATTTCAGTGCTTTTTCATACAGCAAGCTGCAACTGCTGACACTGAAAATTGAACAGCTATGGTTCCTTCAAAACATACCTCTCCTTCAGCGGGATCGTAGAATCTCTGCAATAGCTGAATTGTGGTACTTTTCCCACAACCACTGGAACCGACAAGAGCAATAGTTTTCCCAGGCTGGATTTTTAAGCTCAGACCTTTGAGAATCTGGAATTATTCACAAACATTTAAACATTTAAAACACAATGAAATAAAACAACAACAACCCAGAGGTCACAGAAGCCTTCAGGTTGATTTGATCGATGAACAACACCCTAAAAATGAAACATGTTAACAGAGACATGGTTGCTGTATCTCAAAAACACATGCTATGTTCTGAATGCAAACACCTGATTTAGTTGCTGATATTTTTATTTTGTTAAACAACAGCAATCCTAGTGATATATTTTAACAAAACCTATCAGCACTTATTTGAACACGCAGTAAATCTTAATGCACATTTCTTTAAATACCCCAAACAAGCAAAAAGAGGGAAAAAAGAAAAAAGAAAAGCTTACTTGAGTATCAGGCCTTGAGGGATAGCTGAAACAGATGTCTTTGAATTCAATCTCTCCTCGCAGTTTGTCTGGCTTGAACCCCTCACTGGAACTGCTATCTATGGGGCGCGGCTGGAAAGGAAATTGGAAGTAAGATACATTTCTGTAACTGTGGCATAACACAGGCACGTTCTTCATTTTATGTCTAATGATAAACAAACAGGCCATTTCACTCTTTAAAATACTGCACGACTCTCTTCTCTTCCAAAAGGGCTGTATTTCTGGAAACCAGAACTGCCATTTCAGATGGTGGGGAACAGTATTCACAATGAAGTTCAAAGATCACAACTTGCATAATATACTTATGGAAAATAAAGTAGCGAAAAAGCCAGTTTGCTGCAGCTACTTTATTTTAACACCTCATAAATAAATATATGAGTGCTCCTGAGGAATGAAGGGACACGGGTGGCGCTGTGGGTTAAACCACAGAGCCTAGGACTTGCCGATCAGAAGGTCGGCGGTTCGAATCCCTGAGACGGGGTGAGCTCCCATTGCTCGGTCCCTGCTCCTGCCAACCTAGCAAGTCGAAAGCACGTCAAAGTGCAAGTAGATAAATAGGTACCGCTCTGGCGGGAAGGTAAATGGCGTTTCCGTGTGCTGCTCTGGTTCGTCAGAAGTGGCTTAGTCATGCTGGCCACATGACCCGGAAGCTGTACACCGGCTCCCTTGGCCAATAAAGCGAGATGAGCACCGCAACCCCAGAGTCGGCCACGACTGGACCTAATGGTCAGGGGTCCCTTTACCTTTACCTTTTACCTGAGGAATGATTATTTGTGGGCTAAAGCACAAGGCTGAGGTGACTCCTTTCTTGTTAGCATGGTGTAGGGGTTAGAGTTCTGAATTAAGACTGGGGAGGCCCATGTTCAAATCCTCACTTGGCCACAAAGCTCACTGGCTGACCTTGGGCCAGTCATTTTCTCTCAGCCTGGCCTACCCCAAAGGGCTGTTGTGAAGATAAAAGCTGTATTTTGTGATAATTGTGTAATAGGGCGGATCATAAAAAACTTTTTTTTTTTTAAAAAAATGCCTGCTCCAAAAGTCTTATCTTACTACACTAGGAATTATATTTCATGCATATCAGTTAATATCTTGACCCTGCTGCACTGAATTGAAATTTCAGCCTTCACGACATAGGAAAACAGCCAAGTAAACAGCTATTTTCGTGGAGGAGGGTCAAGATATTAACTGATATGCATGAAATTTCAGATATAGCTATATAATCCCTAGTGTAGTAAGATAAGACCTTTGGAGCAGGCATTTTTTTAAAAAAAGTTTTTTATGAACTACCCTATTGTGTAAGCCAATTTGAGGTGCTTCCAGGAAGCTTGGCTATCCAAATTGCAGTGAGCAGCAAGAAGGCGGCAAATGTAGAATGCTGTTGCTCACTTTCCTTCCCGGTGCTGAGTGTTGCTGCCAGTTCCTGAAAGGGGCAAGGAGCTCAGCACAGCAGCAGAAGTGTTATATTGCTGCTGAGTTCCCTGTGTCCCACTCCTCTCTCTCAGAAATCAGCAGTGATGCTTGGCATTGGGAAGGTGGAGCCAGCAATGCCACCCTACCTGAGCTGCCTTGCTGACCATTGCGTTTCTCGAGTCCTGAGAATTTCTCAGTGCTATAGTTGCCCACAATCCATCTGTAAACACATCATTAAATCTTGTTATCCCACATGTCGTCCAAACTGGTTGCATTTTTCTGTTTTAAAGCCATAACTATATATAAAGGGATACTAATGAGTTTGTTTGTTTTAAAATCCAATTTTTCCCATATGTGCAATGCTGATTCAAGAAATGGCTTAGGATAATTCATAACCTTCTATAAGAGCCTGTGTGATACTAAGGTAATTAGTTAATTAGATGATTACAGCAGTCATATTATACATCCCAGTCAATAAATACCTTCCTGATAATACTAAAGACTTCATAGGCTGCTCCTCGAGCATTGGCCACACTCTCCAAATTTGGGGAGGCTTGTCCAATGGAAAATGCGCCAACAATCACAGAAAAGAACACCTACAGTGAGGAAATGGTTGAAATAATTAACATTTGAAAACTAGGGATTTGCCATCAGTTAATGCAGTACCACAACAATTACAACTGCAATTCTATGCCTGGAAGTAAACCTCACTGAACACATGCAACTTACCTCCAAGTTAACATGACTTTTTAATTTTGTTTACAGCAGAAACACTTTTACAAACATTTCTCCCCTCTCTTAAGTTTCTTCAGCTATTAAAAACCTCCTATGTAGTCTAGCTACTGTATTGTGTCCAATGGAAAGAGCAGTTGAATTGTTCAGTCTGTAGAGCAAGAGACTTGAACTCAGGGCCATGGGTTCAAAACCCATGATGGGCAAAAGGATTCCTGCATTGCAAGGGGGTTGGACAAGATGACCCTCGCGTTCCCTTCCATCTCTACAATTCTGTGATTCTAAGAGTGCATAGTATGGTTACTTCTGCAAACAGGTGGAGCGGTTGATTGACTTAGCTCTTATAGAGGCACCTCTATCTCGATTATTTTATCAAGAGGTGCCACTACAGGGAGGAAATTAGTGCTGAGTAGTATTTTGTGCACAGATTGCCTTGTTGGATGTTATCTGCATCAACAAGAAAACAGGTCAAATGATGCATATTGTATGGTAGATCAGGTTCATACACAGAGAGATTTAGCTAGGTAATGTTAGATTCTGGGCTTAATGGTATTCCCTCTTTAGGTTGCAATGGGTTTATTGGGTTATTGCATTTGGTTTGGTTTTTTGTGTTGTGGTATTGTTGTGAACCACCCTGAGACCTCCAATTATAGGACAGTGTATAAGTTGAATAAATAAATGATGATGTTGAACTAAGCCAAGAGAAGAGTACTAGACTTCTGCCCTAATGTCCTTGCCCAATGGCACATACATATACACTTTAACAAACTTTGGTCACCGTGAATGTTGGAAATTACTGCTTCCAGTATCCACACAGCACCAGTTTGATACGAAGTCCATTACTACATATACTGATCTGCAGATCAAGATAATATGTGCAGAACCAGGTAGCAAGGCTTCTGTGGGTTGGGCTCAAATCTCCAATGCTGCCTCTACTTATAAGTTCAGAGCAGTGGCGTCACAACGGGGGTGGGGGGGGGCACTGCCCCCTGGGTTTCATGGCTTGGGTGCAGTGACAAGAAGGCACCCCGCGGGTGATCGTGGTGGCGTGAGCAGCCATGCCGCAGCCACATGTGGGGGATCCTCCGTTCATGGCTGCAGCCGCGAGCAGAGGATCCCGGTGCTGGTGGCAAACGGCTATGTACAGCGCATGTGCGGCATTGCTATGTGCGGTGCATGCTTCCTACGTAACAACGCCGCACATGCGCCCTACGTAGCGACGCCCCGCCCGGGGTGTCACGACGCCTTCGTTCGCCCCTGGTTCAGAGATCATTTTTTTTAAAGTCTGCATTCAGCAGGACAACTGACTTACAATTAATACTCTCCCGATGTTGTAATTTTCTTTCTCCTCCAGTGTGAGCTTGGTTCCATACCAAAAGGCAAGTGCATAGCATCCATATATGAAAAACTGGGAGACACCCATAGAGACATTGGTGGTGATGCTCTTTTTCATTCCAACAACCCTAGCGTCCTCTAGGTTTGCATCATACCTGAAAACAAACCGCCAAATGTGATTATTTAAGGTATTTCCCACTCAGTTCTGCTTCCATACAGGCAAGTACTCATTGCCATTTATCTCTACAAACAAACCCCATACTGCTTAAATCTTCTGAGGCTGCTAGAACCACACTGGAATTTTCCTATCTGAAGGTGTAACCCACTGTTTTAACAAGAAATGTTGTGAGAAAAGCAGGCATGTTTCATCCTGTGATGCCCCTTGGTTGAAGGCAGACGTTCGAAGAACATAGTTCACACTGGCTTACAAACCTGTTTCCATCAGCCATGTTGGATGGGCAGAATTATAGCTTGATCTCCACCTGAACATGCGCAACAATACACACGTTGGGTTCTACACTAATCTGGAGGGATGCTTTCAGTTGCTGATCTCTAATGCTCTCAAAGAACGCCTGTTTCAGCTTCTTCAGAGAAGGAACAAATGTACGTTCTAAATAGCTTTCCAATTACGCTTATTGTTAGAAGCGGCCTTACCTGGCTGTAGCTTTCGCCTGCCCATTAAAAGCAACAACGGTCCTGATGGCCGACAATATTTCTTCTGCCACAGCACCTGCCTTAGCATAGGCTGACAGTTCTTTAGTTGTCAACACCGACAGGAGCTGGAATATGTAAAAAATGAAACGAAAAATGAAGTTGTTTCACAGAACAACCCAATAAACTCATAGAACTATCTATGTGACAGGAAATGGGGACGGGTCTTTTATTCATAGGCAGTATTTCAATTCTAGCTCTGAATGACCCCTGGTTTACACCAGAGTAAGGAACATGTTTTAGCCCATGGACTGCATTGTCTTATAGGCAACCATCGGCAGGGCTGCATGCCAGAAGCAAAAGTGAGCAACAGATCCTGCAAAACTCTCTTCACCCAGGCAAGCAAGATGCATAAGTATAGTTCAAGGGCACTTTCCAGGCATGCAGAAACACCTGAGGTGGTCAAGGAGCAGAGTGGTGAGGCGAGGAGCCTGGGCAGAGTCCCAAGACCCAGAGAAAGCCCCAGAGGGCTGCATTAGGCCCTAGGCCTTAGGTTCCTCACCTGTTTTGCACCAACAAACTGGGTTACTTGTGCAGACAGTTCTCTTGCATGAGAGACTTCTCTTGATTATATAATAAAGCTGATTATATGGGTTTTAGCAAAATGACTAAAATACTACTTTAAAAATGTATGTGCTGAAAGACTAGAAACTCCTTATAGATTTTTTGAGTGAAAAAGAATATGAACTTATGATATCTGGGTTTGAGGATCGAAGAAAATATTGCTTTTATAGAAAGCTGAATTGTTGGGTGTTATCTTGGAGTGGATGTTTTGAATAATTTTCTACGTAAGGCTGACAGACGAAGAATAAGAAGTTCTCTTTCCCCTTCCCTTTTCTTTTTTCTTTCTTTCCCTTCCCCCCTCCTGGTTTATGTTTTTAGATTATTTTATTTTTGATTAAACAGTATTTGATATTAAACTTTGTACATTTTCTTTCAAACATTAATAAAATTTATTTTAAAAAATGTTTGTGCTAAAAAGGTTGCTGCTTTTCTTTAAAACAATGAATTCAGCTACATCTTTGTGTGGGGATGCAGGGAAATGAGGCCGTATCTGTCCAGTTCCTTTCCATAGCTATTTAATTATAGTCATTGGAATCTCCAATTATAAGGCATATGTGCCTTATCAATTAGCAGTAATTACAGGAGGCTCAGATGTGGGTTGGGTAGATTTATTATTCATTATTATGTACTTATCCCACGCCTTCCTCTCAGGACTCCTGAATGGTATACATGGACCCTGCTATAGGTCAGGCTGAGAGAAAATGGTTTGCCCAAACTTCCCCCGCAAGATTTATGATCACGCAGCAACTTAAGCCCAATCTCTCTGGTCTATGTCCAACTTTCTAACCACACTCTCTCTCTCCTAAAAATGGTTAATAAGAATTCTTAACTTGACTGGAACAGTTTCTTGGCACCAAGTTATGCCAGATTAATGGGGCACAGTCTTTTAAGAGTTCCCATGCCATCCCCCCCATGCAGGTTTTCATTTTATCCTTCTTTCCTTCGATTCTTCACCCCCCTTTGTTGCGCACATAAGGAGAATTCTCGTTTGTAGCAGCTCAAGCAACTTACATATGACCACAAACCCCCAGATACAACGAGAAGCGGGCTAACAGACAAGATAACCAGGGTCAGCTTCCATCCGTGCACAAATCCTATGATAATGCCCGTCACAAATGTGCTTAAATTCTGCATTATTATGCTGAGCTTGTCTCCAATTCCTTCGTGAATGGTGTTAATATCACTGCAATGAAGGATGAAAAATGTGAATGTCAGTTGATACTTTTATTCAATAGTTGAGTCTTCAGCTCCTTTGTGAATGGTGTTGAAATCACTGCCATTAAATACAAACTTTTCTCAGTATGGCAGCCTATGTACCTTCCCATCCATTTGGTTATGAAGAAGGAATGCATATGCAAACGCATTTAGGAACTAGCCATGTAGGGATTTACACCTGGCACAAAGCTGGAATCAGTTTTTGTTACATGGCACTGACCTTTCCCCCAGATTAGAACATAAAACAGAAACATCTTACTCTGTTAATCTCGTGTTCAGTGTTCCAATCTGGTTGGTATCAAACCAGGCCATCTCTTGGTGAAGTACAGCAAAAAAGAACTTCTCGCGTATCCTTGCTGTTTGTCTTGCGGAACTGGTCACAAAAGTCCACACCTGAATCATGCTGCAGAGCAAGACTCCAAATCCAATACCAACAAAGTAGTAAGCATGTCTGTTGAAGAAACGACAGGTCAGTGGGGTATTGCAATCCAACGTTTCCCACATCACGTCCTCCAAGTGTTTGGGACAAGAACTCTCAACAGCACAGGTCATCCTGGCTAATAGATACGATGCGATTTAGAGTCCAAAATCTCTGGAGAGTACTAGGTTAGGGGACATTATTTCTATGCCACCATTCAGCCGAAGAGGCAGTTCGCAAAGCTTAGAAAGGTGAAGAGTGTCTTCTGTGCTACAACTGTTATATTGGGGAACTGAGGCTGCACACAGAGTTAGGAAGTGCAAGTGCAAAACGAAACTGATCCGTTAGTGTGGCAGCACCTACATTTTGTAACTCCCTTCCTGCTGACATTAAGCAGGTGCCTTCACTGCACTCTTTTCAGTTCCTCCTTGAAACATTTCTGCTTATGCAAGCCTACCCAGACACGTGGAAGCTATATGTGTACAGTGGAACCTTGGTCCTCGCACAGCTTAGTTGGCGAATAAATCGGCTCCCGAATGCCACAAACTCGGAAGTAAGTATTCCGGTTCTTGAACATTTTTGGGAAGCCAAATGTCCGACGTGGCTTCTGCTTGACTGCAGGAAGCTCCAGCAGCCAATCAGAAGCCGCGCCTTGGTTTTCAAACAGTTTCAGGAGTTGATTGGATTTCTGTAACACACGGGTAGGCAAACTAAGGCCAAGGGGACAGAACCGGCCCAATCACCTTCTAAATCCGGCCCGTGGATGGTCCTGAAATCAGTGTGTTTTTACATGAGTAGAATGTGTCCTTTTATTTAAAATGCATCTCTGGGTTATTTGTGGGGCATAGGAATTCGTTCATTTATTTATTTTTTCAAAATATAGTCCGGCCCCCACAAGATCTGAGGGACAGTGGACCGGCCCCCTGCTGAAAAAGTTTGCTGACCCCTGCCGTAACAGATTAAGTTCAAGAACCAAGATTCCACTGTATTATCTCTTTTTATCAACAGTTGATTTTAATAATCTTCTGACTGCTTTTAAATACCCATTTTAACTTATTTTATGTAGAACTACCTAGTTTTTAGCTAGATTTTTTTTAAAAAAAGGTTTTTATAAAATAAAACAATCAAGCCGTATATGAATTCTGTTAAATAAAGGAACACAATGTGCTTGAGAGCAAGATGAAAGTCCATGGAGGGTAAATCTGTAACTGGCTACCAGCCATGATGACTATACATTACCTCATAAATCAGAGGCACATGTTTCATAGTACCTGTGTTCAATCATTTGAAGAGTACTCTTTGGAAGAAAGACCCATATATCCTTCATGTCACTCTCATTATTAGAAGAAAATGCTTAACTAATGTTTTAATATACTTTTTCAAGGTAATTGGGGGGGTTATATCCAATGCTGGTCATATTCTTTGGAACAGACCCACTGAAATCAAGTTTATGTTGTGAACCACCCTGATACCTGTGGGTATAGGGTGGTATACAAATTTAATTCAACATCATCTGAATAGCTGTCACTGGGGAACAACTGTGGGAAGAGGGATGTGACTTCGCAACCAGCATCTGTTGGGTCTTTAGTCTTCTTATGTTTTTAAAGTCAGCCATAGCTCAGTTAAAAAATAATAATTGGATAGGTCCTTACACGGCCATTTCGTTTTCTATATCTGAAGGTGGACATCCTGAGATATTAGCTAGTGCAGCTTCTGCAAAAGAGAAGGCAGTAGTTATAATTATCAGAAGAGGTGCTGCAAGATTTTCTGGCAATGCCATCTTAGCATTTTTACATGGCATTGCATGGCACTGTTAATTATTACTTGACTTAACAACGAAAAGTCTCAAGTAAAGAAAGATTAAGAGTTGCAGGCATTAAGCAGCTAGCCGGTTTCTAACCTTCAGACCTGATCTCTTCATGATGTAGGCAACTTTCCTAGGCATTTTAAAAAATATGTCAGTGTCAATAAAACACGCATTCAGTCCATGAAGGACCAAGCATGGCACGTTAGTTCCATTTAATGTTTCCCAACTTAACGTAACTGGATTTAACAGAAGCATATGACTGTCACACAGCCACTAAGTAATACTAAACCCATAACCCCTCCATGGGAAAGTCGCTCATGAAAAAAAGGAAAAATAAAATTGAGAGTTGTTGTTTCTTAAGCACATAGCATTTGGAACCTGGGATGCAGGTGGAGCTGTGGGTTAAACCACTGAGCCTGGGGCTTGCCAATCAGAAGGCTGGCGGTTCGAATCCCCGCGACGGGGTGAGCTCCCATTGCTTGGTCCCTGCTCCTGCCAACCTAGCAGTTCAAAAGCATGTCAAAGTGCAAGTAGATAAATAGGTTTTTGCGTGCGCTGGTTTGCCAGAAGTGGCTTTGTCATGCTGGCTGCATGACCCGGAAGCTGTACGCTGGCTCCCTTGGCCAATAAAGTGAGATGAGTGCCGCAACCCCAGAGTTGGCCACGACTGGACCTAATGGTCAGGGGTCCCTTTACCTTTATTTGGAACCTGTTTGACACATGTGGCTTTTTCATCCCTCCCCCCCCATCCTATATATCCTTACATCTCTGCTAATGCATTCTTTTAGTATGTAGACATCTAAGTATGAAACACGCAATTACCCAAACATATGAGATCCATTTTCAAGCCACATTGTCCACACTGTTGAAACTGATGCCCAAGTGGACCCTGATTTGTAGGCCGGATCCAGTTGCCATGGCTGCCAAACAGGAGCCATTTGCTTCTCCCAAGCTAAACTGCCTGTTAAGCAGCAATGGGGAATCTCTGGCCCTTCAGAAGTTCTTGGACTTCAACTCCCATCAGCCCCAGCCAGTGTGATCAATGATCAGAGGTGATGGGGTTTGTAGTTCAAGAATATCCAGAGGGCTACAAGTTTCTCATTCATGCTGTCAAGATTTAACCACTTCAGCAAAGGTTCATTTATTTTATTTTATACTGAGTGCTTGGAGTAGCCTTTGCTTGATTACAGTTCATCAAGATTATGAATGTAAATGGGGGGGGAGGTGAATACTGATCTCTAGCATTTTAAAGCTCTGTGTTCTCCAACAATATTCTCAGTCTCCATATCTAGAAACTCAAGAAGCCCATAATATTCATATATTCTCTCTCTCTCACACACACTGCTTTTCCCCCTAAAACAATGTCTAGGGGTACTCTCATTTTCCTGCTCATATTGAAATATTGCCCCACAATGAGACCAAACTTAGATTCACAAAACATTTAGGGGTATGTGTACCCCTGTGTCCCCCCCCCCCAGAAAAAAGCACTGCGTGTGTGTGTTTATGTCTTATATTTATGTTATTTTTCTTTCTCATTATCCTGTGTATGACTGTAACACAGAATGCATTGATGATGATATGATAAAACAGAAAAGCAAATTAAAAATATATTAATAATAATAAAAAAGAAACTCAATAATCCGAAAAAAGCACAGATGGGGCAAACTTAGTGATTTTTACCTGTAACATTATTGTGACTGGTCGACACAAAGCTGTTTGTCATTTCGCCGAAGACGATGATTAAAAGTGGCTGTCCAGTTCCAGCTGCAGCAGCTGCGATTAACCCCACTATCATTAAAGTAATATCTAGCCCATCTGCAAAATGAAACTAAATTGAGAAAGAAAAAACAGGAGGAATCAGGTGAAATTATGGCAGAATGTGTGTATATATGTGTGTCTCTGTGTATATGCCCGTATGTATGTACACACACATCATAATTAGTCGGCTGCTGGGCTTTCTTTCTGTTCTTCCTACCCTACTGGTGCTCTTCGTCCGCTTATGCAGAACAGACCTTTGTACCCTCCAACATTTCTCTGATAAAAATAGGGACATTCTATTGTAATTTATTATTATTATTATTATTATTATTATTATTATTATTATTATTCCCTCCATCTGGGCAGCTTCCAACATATACAAAAACATAATAAAACATTAAACATTTAAAAACTTCCCTATACAGTGCTGCCTTCAGATGTCTTCTAAAGGTTATATAATTATTTAGCTCCTTGACATGGGGGGGGGGGGTCACATAATTCCATACCCTCCAACATTTCTCTGATGAAAATAGGGACGTCCTAAGGAAAAGCAGGACATTCTTGGATCAAATCAGAAACCAAGATGGCTTCTGTAAATCCTGGACTGTCCCTGGGAAACAGGGACACTTGGGAGGGTCTGGACCTTACGTCAGAAAGGCCTCTCTCCAGCTGAGAATTTTCAGTCATCATTTTAACCTTCTCTCTCATGGTTTCTTTGTTCCCATTGCTCTCTCCATCTCTTAGCAACTGGGAGTTGATCGACAGCCCACCTTTCTCTTTTAGTTGACTAGTTCCTCACACTAGGTCAGGCATATCCAAACTTGGCCCTCCAGCTGCTTTGGGACTACAACTCCCATCATCCCTAGCTAACAGGACCAGTGGTCAGGGATGATGGGAATTGTAGTCCCAAAACAGCTGGAGGGCCGAGTTTGGGGATGCCGGCACTAGGTATTCCAAATCTCATTTTGAAGAAAAAGAGACATGGCTAGTTGTCTTCCTCATATTTTGTATTGTAGGATCAAGAGCAGGGCTTGGGCTCATATATTTCCTCATCACTCTTCCCCTGAAACAGAGCTTTCCATACCTGGCCCTCCAGGTATTGTTAGGAGTCCCATCAGTCCCAGCCAGAATGACCAATGGCCAAGGATGAAGGGAGTCCAACAACAACTGGAGGCCACCAGGTTCCTGTGGGTTATGTTGTTTGTGCTATGGAGGAAATGGGGAAGGGGTACATGTCTCTGAGTGATGCTCCTGATGTCACCACATTTGTAGATGTGAGGAAGGTACACATCTGAGCCAACCAAAGAAAATGACAAAGGCAAAGAAGCATACTGACCAGCTCGAAAAAGCCAACTGCCTTCCCTTTCTTCTCATTTTTCTTTCTGAAAAGTTTTGAACAGAAAAGCAAGTTAGCTGTGGTCATTTGTGGAAAATGAAAGGCATCAAAGTGCATAAGGAAAAACCTACTTTTTCTTCTTCTTTAAATGGCCATTTGGTGTAGGTTCTTCATCCAAATGGAAAGAAGGGTTGTCATAGGCTGGAGGTTCTGTTGATGGGAAAGTCAGTTGGATTTCATAGAAATAGTTGGGTTGGAATCCAAAGAATCCGCTTGAAACTTTATTCACTGAATTCTCCAGGAACACGCTTACGTTTGGCAGGTGCCAGCCCCATACCCTAAACACATCTACAAACTATATAAACCTATTTAACTCCATACTACTGACTCAGGCTGAAATTCTAAATATACTTACTTGGAAGCAGGACCCGTAGAAATTAGTGAGACCTGCTTTTCAGTGAATGTAGAGATTGGACTTGCAATAGGATTGCAAATTTTTGAAGCAAGTCCCTGAAATGCTCAATGAGTAAAAGAAATACTATAGATATTAAATTTAAAATCAAAGCAATTGTTTCTATTACTGATGCAATAATTGATCTGCATTGTGCCTGAAAATGCAGACAATTCTTTCTGTTGTACATTAATGAAGATTAATTGTTGCACTGTGAAAATGTTCCCATTTACCAACAAGTCTGAAAACACGTTAGATTTTTATAGAGACACCTTACTAATATGTGTAAAACAAATGAAATAAGGAATGCTCCCCTTGCAGTACACATCATGTGCCAATGAGGTGATTTAAAACATATGGTTTTTCCCCCACTAAACATTTTAAAAATAATGTTTTAATCTGCTAATGAGTTCACAGGTCTTCACCAATAATATCTCAAGAAGATTTCAGTAGACTTCCACCCCCAACCCCCAAATGCATTATTTTCTCAACAAAAAGTATTTTATTATTTGGAAGAAAGGTCATTGCAGGAACAGGTCTTTTGAAATTGTCACACCCAACAAGTCACATATGAGTCACATTATGAAGAGAAGCTCAGATCACTGGGTAGGTGGGAAAGTAGAACAATAGCTTCAAAACTGTCCATTTTAAGTTATTAGATGCAGACTGGAAATCTACACAAGTATTATGGCGAAGTTAAAACACATATACTTCCACAATATTGTGAAAAATTGGCACAAGGGGTAAATAAAAACCAAATTTTGTTGTAATTACTATTAGCCACTTAATTTTTTTTTTAAAAAATGGGACTCAGAAATAAATATTTGGAGGGGGAAACAACAAAGTAGTTATAGCTGTTGAATGCAATTTCATGGCTATCCAAATTCGCAACACCTTGCCCTATTTTTATAACCATTCCTAAACAAAGGGATCCAAATATTAAGGAGTAACGAAATATATTACAACTTACCAGTTTTGGACACTTGATTCACTGTGTAATTTCTCATGGTTTTGTTCTATGGTCCCGTTCTATGGTAGAGAAGTAAATGGTGTTCACCCCAAATCTGTGTAAAAAGAGCACACTGATATAATATACTCATTTTTAAAACTGACGTTCATACATTTTATTTAGATCACCTTCATTTTTCCTTATTTCATTCTTTTTACATATTTGTATCATTAACACCCTCTGGACAGGATCAATACTGTATAATATAATGATTCTGATCCTTATTAAACACCGAGATGTAATTTTCATGGTTTATTTGTGGAAATATCTGCTTATTCAAATTGGGGAGCACATCAGAAATATGCAAAGGAAATGGTGTCTCAGAGTGCTAAAATTCTGACACGCTTTTCCCACAAAAGGTGGCAATCACATACCATCAGCACTTGAAGTGTTTAAAGCTAAACCCCTAGTACAGTTATTATATGGGGCTCAGATCTGGACAGGTGCTCACCTTGGATCTACAGAAGCTGTTCAGTCTAAATTCCTAAGGCATTTTTTTCCTGTTCCATCCTGTGTTCATTGTGCTTAGAGGCTAACCTCCCCTCTGTTGAATTACAGATTTGGTGTAGGACATTTAATTATTGGCTTCGGCTAAATTTAAACCCCACTAGTCTACTACCCTTAATATCGCAGGATTGTCATGAGAGCACTTGGACTAAAATTGTCAACCAAAAACTTTATTTTTCTGGTTTAACACCGCAACTGTTGCGGTGTTAAACTGGGCTTCAGTACAGCAAATAATTTAATTACACAGCACCTATATGATACTGAGAAACAGAATAATTTGGTCACGATAAGGAAATTTTGTATGATTATTTTCCACCTAGCCATTTTGATACGTTGGCACCCTATTTGCAAAATTTAACAATTCCAAAATACAGACGCGCTTTCACTTACGCAAGATTAAATATACTGAATTCAGCTGTACTCAAGGGTTGATTTCAAAAATTTCTGCTGGAAAAGCGCTTACGTCCCTGTGGATATGGCAGTATTGAATCAATGGATCATGTGCTTCTAGCTTGCACTCTTTATAAAGATTTGAGGAGTGAGGTTTATACGCCTCTGCTACTGTTCATGCCAGGTTGCTCAACCCAGTGGCAGAGCTAGCCGCTCCTGCACCTGGAGCGGCGTGGCGATCTGCCCACAGGGCAATTGGCATGGCGGCGCGATCCAATCGTGGTGAGACAGCACAATCCTCCCAGCAGGGAGCCGATCGTGGCGAGGTGGTGCAATCCTCCTGGCAAGGGGCCAATCGCAGCGATCCGCCCAGGAGGGTTTTTGTCACCCCCCTCTGGGATGGCACCCGGGGTGGACCGTCCCCACCACACACCCCTTCAAACGCCCCTGGCTCAGCCATTGCTACTGTGTCCTTTCTTCTAGCAGATTAAGTTATTCAGGTGACAGCAAAAAATGCAAACTTTTCAGCAGGGGCAATTAGAATAAGATCTATTGTTTGGTTATGGATGTTAAACCTCCAGAATGTATGTTGTATAGTTAAGTTTTTACCTCTATCTTCAGTACATTGTATTTTATTTTATTGCTATGGCTAGTGGCTGATGCAAATAAAGATTCTTCTGATTCTGGTTCTTTCTTTAGACCATATTATTGCACACCACCCCAATCTCTGAGTGGCGTGGGATTGGAGGGCTTCTAGGTGCTTACCCAGGGTTTGTGTTTCCTTTTGGAAATGAGGCACAGTGGAGACTGTGGTGTCATTATGATATATGGTTTATTTACTCTTATCTACAACCTGAGCCTACGGTGGAGCATTAGCATCCCAAAAGGGCCTTGTTTCTCCCATAGCCACAGCCTTGGATTCCACCAAAATTCAAACACTGTGTTCCGACTCTGTCTCCAGCTTGTTGCTTTTTCTCTGGTTCACATCGCAGTCCCAAAACTCTTCTTCAAACTCTGTTTGTCTAGGTAGGGGCCCCCCCTTCATTTGCCATCTCACACCTAGCCCCTTAATCCTGTGTTCTCTTAATAATGGACCATCACAAAGGCGATCACCTCATCAGGAAGCAAGGCTGGCTGGTATTTTAACACTTGCTGGTTCCAGAGGTTAAAAAGGTCTCAACTTCCCCCGCAACTCATAATACTATAACTACATCACAATTTCGACAACAGCTATTAGGCAAGGAAAAAGCCTATAAAAACACAACAATATACTCTCCACATATTTGTGCTGAACAGACAAGTTTGCACTGTTACCTTTATTAGCACCAATTCATTTGGTTGTTTATTTGTTTTTAAAGACTTTAAGATTGCCTTTGTAGTTCTGAACTAGCACATAGAATCAGACCTGAAAACAAATTGGAGGCTATTGATGGGAAAGTGAGTGCTTGCTTTCCCTCTGGAGAGCTCAACAGCTGCTCCTGGGCAGGCCTTGCCTTGAAATCTATTTAAAGAGAAAGAAAGGGGAGGAGAACAAAGTGAGGATGGAGAGAAGGAGGAGTACAAGCCAGAGCCTTGGAGGGGAAGAGAGAGCAAGGAGGCAAGGACGGAGCAGCCACTTTGTAGTGGGCCTCGAGATCTCACATCTGTACACACTCCAATTGACAGCAAAGAGGGATAATATTTGCAGACCTCCCCCAAGAAGGAAGGGGGCTGGAGGAGGTCATCTAACTGAAAGGAATTTCCTCACGATTCCAAAAAGAAAAGAAGAATCAGCCCATGAAAAAGAGAGCAGACCCCCACTTACACAGCATTATGTCCTGAACAGCTCCACTTGGATCTCTTTCTGTGGCACTTACTTCCAAGTAAGAGTGTCAGAACATATCTCAATCCTAAGCACAGTATTTGGGGCTCAGTTCTTTGAGAAAGAGTGAGTTTCTGCAATTATACGTCTAGGTGTAAAAGGCAAATCAGGACACTTCTGTTATTTCGACCTAAGTGATTTGTGGATCACTAATCACCATGCCTGGCGTGCTCTGGTCCATGGGGTCACAAAGAGTCGGACACGACTAAATGACTAAACAACAACAACAACAATCATCATGTAAAAAATACAGTACAATAGAAATTGATTAATGGTCTAATAGACCACCTGCAATAACAACAGCAGCAGCAGCAGCAGCAACAACAGTAATAATAACAACCCCTTTGGGAGGGGAGCCTTAATCTGGTGCTGCCAAATGAGACGTGCAATCTCATCTTGGCGAGGATTACGACCTACCTGAGACCCAGAACTTTCCCTTCCCCCCTCCAGAAGGGCAGTAAATTTCAATTTAATTTTCTTACAGAGAAAATCTTGGCCAATGTGCTCTCTTGCAGAGGGTTCCTAACTGGGGGTTTGTCTTGAGTGTGGCCTAAACGGTGGTTTCAATAGGGCTAGGAAAGATGGGGGACAGAGGGCTTATTCACACAGAATCAAGGGCAGATCTGTGTGTGCCCTGGTTGACACTCAGCAGAAAGCCTGCGTCCCAAACACCTAATTGTTGCCACATGCACACCTTTCTGTGTCAAAGGCTGGGATCCCAAACACACTTACTGGGGATATGAAACATGTGCCTGAATGGTAAGGGGTTCAGTACTGGACTGGTGGGAGGGACTCAGTGTTAACAGTCCCAGGTTAGGGGGAGCAATACTTGCCTTGCCCCAGGTGCTGGCAAACCATGCTACGCCCACTGTCCTGTGATGCCCTATTGCACAAATGACGCGGATTAAAGCAAAGGTTCTCAATCCAGCACCACCTTCTGGAATGATCCAACAGATAGGAGGAGACTCACAAGTGAGTTTGCATTAAATTCCTGTCCTCAAATCTGGTACACAGTATCATGGGTTCATGGTATCAAATGTTCCTGGAGAATGAAGGGAATTATATTTCCCCTGTCCTTCTTGAAGTAAATGAAGTCCACCAGGGCCATCAAAGCAGCTACACTGTCAAACCCAGGCAAGACACTTATCAGTGTCATCCAAGAATGCCTAGAGGTGGAAAGGCCACCACTTTGGATGAGCAATTTGTTCAAGAATAAGGCCAGAAATTTGACCATGGACAATAGGGACTAGTGGGAGATGGGTTGGGGGTTAATGTGTTGTGCAGGAAACAATTGTTCTCAGCATACTCCCTTTAATAAGCAATTGCAAACAAATGCAAAAGCTTTTAACACATTATTGGAAAAAGTTAAGAAGTTGGGAGGCACCTGTGTAAGTGCAGGCATCCAAGATAAACAGATTCACATACATGAAAATATGTTTTAAGATAGCTTTTTCTTGGCCGAATCTTTTTTAGTACAGTATCTTGTATTTGCACTGTTTGATTTGTTTCAAAGTGTCTTTTGTATTTTATTATTGTAAATAGGTTTGGGAAACAGCTGAGTGTTTGAAGCAGTATATAAATATACTAACTAACTATAAAGGAATTCTGTCTTTTTCCTGTTTGCAGTTCTCTATTGTGTAAAATCATTCTACCATTTACCGATTCAGTTTGACATTTAGAATCCTGTTATTGCTGCGTAATATATCTGAACAAGTAGAAATTTTCAAGAGTACTCATTCTTTGGATTTATTCATAGTATAATTTATACAGAAAGGATATTCCCTTGATGAACACGTATCAGCGGCAGAAAAGGTGCTATGTGGCACCTTAAAGACTAAAATTTATCGCACCACACACTAGCCTTGAATCTATTTCTACCAGATGAAATTGTTTCATCTTTTAAGGTGACACAACACACACACACACACTTTTCTGTTTATTTACTAATAAAGCTACTGTTCTAGAATACAACGGAGATTCTCCAAACCCAAATGGATTAGGGCAGGAAGTGACTTTGGATTGTTAGAGGCTACAAGAATAAGTTTAGTGTTACGGTTTAGACTTATTATAAGTTATTGTAAGTTTAAGTTAAGTCTGCTGCAACTGGATTTCTTACGGACAGTGACAATCCGGAATGTATATTGGATTTGTGACCATTATGTTCATTTGCCTCCAGTAGCAGTAAAGCTTTGCTGGATGAAATACAATTGCCTCGGGTCTATTTGTTTGGGGAAACCTGCAAAGTTTTTACTCTGCTAACTATAAGTCGGAGTTCTGCTCTGGATCAATACTGAGTAGAATTTCATGGATAACCAAATTCTGTTTCCCCTCAGGATAATGGGCTATTGTATATTAAAGGACATCGGGTTGGGGGTATCCCTGGGAGATAACTGGGATTATCCTTTGATTACCCTGACCCAAAGTAAGGACCTCGGGAAAGGGGAGGTGAAGCTGGAGAGATAGTTTGGAGGCAAATGCCATTGCCTCGCTCTTCCACCACTGCTGAAAGAATCCAAAGGCAGCCGGTTGTGCAGACATGTGTCAATCCATCCTGGGTGCATTGCTGAGGTGGGGCTTCTGCCCCAAAGGCAGAGGGGGGGGGCCCGTCACACACATTCTTAACTTAAATCGCGCGGGCGCGCACGGACAACCGCTTGGACGTGTGAGGATGTCTCTCTTACAAGTAAAGCCTCATTACTTTATTCTTTACAACGCGTTGCTAAAATCTGGCTTAAAAACCGAAACATTCTTAAGGCGGCAGCCCTGTAAAACCCCTTACCCGCGAGTAAGCCCTACTGATCTCACAGCAACTTACTTCAGAGTAGACACGCGCAGGCTTGCACTTGCCAAGCAGCCCGAAATCTCTAGGCTCCAACAGTCCTATAGGCACTTCCCTGGGGGTTAAGTGCCACTGAGTGGGACTTACTTCAGAGTAGACTCCTAAGATCAGAAAGGCAGAAACTGCGGTCCAAAAACTTTCTGGTCGGCTGAAGGAGTCTGCCGTCGGATGCAATGAGAGAAGCCTTCCAAGTGTGACCGCTATCCCTCCCCTCAACCTCCCCCCCCAACATTGCAATCCTGCAGCAACTCACCTGGGACCCGATGGGGACCTGAGACGCCGCTGGCGCGCGGCAAGCCCAGGCGCTCCGGACCGGAATGCCTTCGCCTGGGGATGCAAGCTTCGCCTGCGAGCTGCGCCGCGTGAACGCCCCTTTGCAGCTACAAAGGAGGCACGCCCAGACGGCTCTTTCGCCTCGAGGAAGGTTGCGTGACCTGCAGAATTCCCCTTAGCAACCCTAAAGCTAGGAAAAAAGGATGAAAAAAGAAAACCAGTCCGGAAGCAGATATATGCCTATGTCTGGGTCTGTTGGGCTCAGTTCAGTGGCGCTCCGAAACGACTTTTAAAATGAAAATGCCATGTAAAATACTTGACGTATATAGGAGCAACTGACCCTCCTCCTGGTATTTTGAGACTGCCTGTAAAGTCAACAATAATTAACTTGGGCGCTGCAGAGACTTTCTATTTTTGTCCAGCTCAACTCAAACGTTGGTCCGGATTTATCCCACCCATCACAGGCTTCGCCAATCTGGTGCCCTCCAGATGAGCGGGACAGCTACAAAACACAGTTTTCTATGTAGTTAAGTCCTGAACCTGTACTGGAAGATCCTTTAAACATGGCTCCTGTTGACTAGAAGTTGCTCTTCTGCAAGCAGCGGCATCCTAGCTTGTGTAGTATTTCAATGGCCAAACCACATGAATGGGGATCGATCTGATCAATTGCCTGAGTGCCAATTAGGTATTTGGGACCTGGGATATCAGGCCCCACTGATCATTGTAATTGGATAATTTACATCAGGGGTCGCCCACAGAGGCTTTCACTGGCACCCTTGGCAACCTATTTTCTGATGGGTTTCTCCAGCGCTCTCTCAAAATTTGAGTCATGCACAAGGGTCCAAAAAGGCGGATAACCCCTGATTTACATGTTATGATGGCAGCATGGGAGCTTCTCCCAGGCAAGTGGCTTCCTTGTAGCTCAGGCAACTTTAAAATGCCCCTATCAGTTGTCATATATGGCTGTGAATATCTCAAGAACCAGCTTAAATGTAGAAAACAGCTCAGGAATGTCGTTCTTAAGTACAGCTTATGATCCGATTTATATACAGCACCAACCAAAATGGAAAGCCAGACTACACTGCCGTAGAACATGCATGTACCACAAATATAGACATAATGCATACATCCTTGCAAGGTCCATTCCGGGAATTCTTATTTTCAATTGTAAAGGCAGTTTAGAGCCCTGCGCTCTTTGGGCTGCTACTCTGATGAGGAAATGACAACACACCCTTGCCCATAACACCATTCCAAGCAACCTTAGTTGTTGCTACGTAAGTGAAGCTTGACCTTAGCTCTTCCAACTCTGACCATCACCGTTTTTCTTTGAGGATGACAGCATTCACTTCCTCTTTCTACATAGCTCACGGTATGATTTGCATCATTTTAGAATTTTTGTCCAAAAATAAAATAAAATACATAATTGTAGTGTAGTTTGATGGCTTTGGTACAGCCAGCAGCTTCTTTAAAAAGCAGAGCAAAATTACCTTGGGCCTAGCTCTAGCTTGAGAAGACACATGGCATGCTGTGAAGGGAATGCCTCTCATATCAAAATCAGTTACTTTGCTGCTTCTTGTGCAGATATTACTTGGGGCGGGGGGGGTTGGGGGGGGAGACACAAAAACCCAGAAGTGAGAAGCACAATCCAACTTCTGCTATCAGGGCCCTTGGGAGGGTTTACCTCCTCCTTTCCAGCAAGAACACTAGACTGTAAGCAGTTGCGGAAACGGTGTGGTTTGGTTGCAATATCTTGCAGTTTTTAACTTGATATTACTGCTGCCACTGAGGAAGGGAGGAGAAGAGGGTGAGATACGATATTGGTGTTTTTATTTCCCTACTCTATTAGCAAATTATTCTGCTGTATTTGTTGTATTTTTATCGCATTACACTAGTTAAATTGAAATGGGCTTTATTAAATGTTACACTTTGAAATCTCACCTGTTTGCTGGGGACAATATTTACCTGCGCCGAGGGAGATGGAGGGGAGGAGGTATCCCCCCCAGGTTGTACACATTGTAGAGATTTATACTGGCCAAGCGCTTGTGTAAGGGGGTAAACCATTTCCAGGTGTGACTTTACGGATACTATTTGGCATTGAATTGTTGCTGCTATATGCCCAGAAACCTCACCAAAATGCTGGAAAGGATGCACCTCCACAGGTACATACCTCCACATGTGGTGGGAATGTCCCCAAATCCAACTCTTCTGGACATCAATCATACAAGAAAAATGCAAAAGAACTAAGCAAGTATTAGAAATCACCCCAGAACTGGCCCTACTAAACATCTTCCAAGATAATAATGCCTACTCACATCATGAAGAGCTCATAACACACCTACTCTCCACAGCCAGAAGCATCATAACCAGATACTGGAGAGACTTGTCAGGAGGATGCATGGACCAATGGTATCAAATAGTATGGGAAACAGCCTTATTAGAAAAAACTCACCAATAAACTGAAACTGACACGGGGACAAATAGAAGAAGCCTTCACTCCGGTATGGTTCTTCTTTATCACATACACAGTCCAACAAGACAACAACAAGAATCCCCCAACAGCATACAAATCAATCTAGCTAACCTGATCCAAACACAAACACACATCCCACTCACACACGAAAACAAAGTTCACCACAGCCAATCAAAAACAACCACCCACACCCTAGGCCGCCCCCAACCTCTCTCACTACCAAGGAAATACACCAAGTGAATAGTAAGAGAACCCACACAAGTGACGCTGAAACAAAACCCCACACATACACTAAGTAGAAGAATAGAGGCATCGCCACCCAACTCCACCCCACTCAGCATTCCCCCTCCCCCTCTTTCCCCCTCTTTTCTTCCTAACCTAACACTGTATGTAACACTAATGTCTCACAACAAATGAAACTGATCTGTAGAAAACGCTACTTGGAAAAAGAGAGACAATGCACGTATTTTTGTAAACTAAGAAATCTTTAAGAAAAATATATTAAAACAAAAATGGTTGCTGCTATGACTGCAATTTCAATTAAATGATGACTTATTTTGTGCAGTTTTATTAGTTCTTAGCTGCCTTGAGCTCCAGATCGCAGGAAAGGTGGGATGTAAAAATCTTGAACAGATGACTGAATAAATAAATAAGCAAAACACTACAGCAAGGCTGAGGCCAGCGTGACCTTAGCCATTGGCCAGAGCCTCAGCAGCTGCAGGCTGCTTGCTTCTCCTTTCCTTATCAGAAACAACTCTGTCCCAATTGCCAGCTGACAGAAGTCACCAGCAAGAAGGCTCAAGGGCACTGTCTCATTGCACAATGTTTAACAAAAACACAGGTAAGGAAATGTCAGTCTTTCTTCAGTTGGATCTGAATGCTGGTTTGCGGGTCACAAACTTATTGTCTCTGTGATCTCTGTTATCTGAATATGGAAACAGGCAATACAATATGTATGTAACAAAGAGTAGATGCAAGAGCCACAGCTATTTCTATTTTTTAAAGAGTAGCTTGTTACTTGGCCTATAAAGAATGTCAAATGATACATATTATTGGACTGATTTAAAAATTCTGACCACAGAAACAAGAGAATGCTAAGGGCTGAGGTTCAGGTGTCAGTGTATTCTTCCTTTCAGAGGACAGCTGTTTGAAGATCTGCTTAGGGGGTCTTTGAAACTACCCATCAACAGCGCCTAGAAGCAGGGGTGCAGGCCATTATGGCAGATGCATGGTATTTCAATTTAAATTGTAGCAATATTTCTAAAATTGAATCTGTGCATATAAATAAGGATACACAATTTTTATGGAAGCCATTATTTTAGCGATGTTGGAAGCAGAGTGATGTGTAAGCAGTCAAACAAAAAATGAACCCAACCTCTCTCTGTAGTCGGGTGATTTGTATTACATATATTCCTGAGTCCACAAGATCTGGCTGGCTGTGTTAGACTCCCTGTCAGACCTGAAGTGGGCGGAGCTGCGCCATTGGATATGGCTGCGTGAAGGTGCCCCATGTCCTCTAATGTTCTGCTGTCAGAAAGCACCTCACACACCTTCAGGAAGGGACAGCCAACACCCCCACCTGCTTTTCTAGAGCACGGAAGGCTAATGGGATCGGTGTTGCTTATTTGGTCCTGCATGGTCAAGGCATCTTTCACTAACCCAGAAATAGTACCTCGGGTTAAGAACTTTGCTTCAGGATGAGAACAGAAATCACGCGGTGGCGGCAGCAGGAGGCCCCATTAGCTAAAGTGGTACCTCAGGTTAAGAACAGTTTCAGGTTAAGAACGGACCTCCAGAACAAATTAAGTTCTTAACCCGAGGTACTACTGTACTGTATTAATTGTTCATAGATCTTTCTAACTCATGATTGACTAGAAATTTAGGAGTGTAACTCAACCGCTTTCCTTTTTCCTAGAGCAAACAACACAAGCAATGTACTTCTGCATGGTAACAGTGTTTTGTTTGTTTACTAAAATAGGAAGTCTTCGACACCAAATGCCTTCTGTCCTGGCATTAGTCACATTTGGTTCAGCGTGAGTTTCTCCATCTTCTCTACTACAATAGGTGAGAGGTATAACTATAGCCATACATTCTTTGAACCTGTGTCAAACCCAAAATTGATGGACATCAGCAGAGCTTAACTGATGAAAGAAAAAAATTAAAACAGTCAGGCTATCATAAATTTAAAAGATTAAGGCAGCCTTCAGGACACTGTAGGCTTCCAAAAGCAGTCTTGCCAAGTTCCTATAAATGTTCAGTTAACCCTAACTGCCTTCTCTTTGGATGATGTTATAAAAGCATCCAACACACAAAAGCCCCACATAATGCTGTTTTACTGCACTGTCACCATGGCATTCCCATTTTACCAAAGACAAAACATCCAGGGCTTTCACAAATGGGTAGAATCATCTTCGTTTCCTGCTTCTCACCTTGAACAGCATCCTGATGTACAGAAATTAAATGGCAACACTTTCCCCATGCCAAGGAAAAGAACATTATGAAAAGCACAGGATGAAGCTTGAATTATATTATTATTTAAAAAGCCAAAAAAATAAAAATGGTTTCAACTTTCCTATTCCTTCATCCACATTCACGAGATGGTCCTTTTGAGCTCAGCATTAATTAATCCAGATTGTATGTG